GAGTTCATCTGTTACCTGGGGTTGGTGTCATTATTACATGATGACAAACTATGGGCTATGCAAATGAAGCTGTCACCATACTAACTCAGTATCTTGAGGGTGTTAAGTTAAGAATATGGAGAACTAAGTCCAGCTCAATCCTTATAAAACTCAGTGATTATGGCTGTGATTGTTCGGGCCCCAGATTGAGGATGTAATTTATTTATTCATTTATTAATGTGATATGGCTGCCCATCTCATGATAAGTCATTCTGGCCAGCATCACAACCTAGCAGGGGCATGGATCTAAAGAACAGGTGTCTGATCTCACAGTCTTAAGGATCTTGTGCACTTCCTCAGGTCCAAAAGGCTCAAACCATTCCCAGATAACTTGGCAAGAGTCCTCACCAGGTATCTCCTCTAGACCTGCAGCAAAACTGGATCCATCAGGGAAGAATTCCAAGCACTTTTACCTGGACAGTCTTCAAGGTCCTCTGGAATAGCATCCTCCAAGAGATATGTATGTATGGATTTTGGAAAGCTCTTATGACCTGGCTCTGTTCTCAGACCAGGGGCTGGCATATTAGTGGCATTTTTATGGTTATTGTGGTTGCTTTTCTCCAGGCTACTATCCTCTATGATATTATACTCTGTTATGTTTTAATTGTGTTTTGGATGTTCTAAGCCATCCAGTGGGGTAGCTATAATCAATCTAAATAATAATAATTTCATACCTGTATAGCTCAGCAGGGTTCCAATAGTATGGCTCCAAATGGCTGTCATATGTGAATGAGAATATCAGAATTGTGCAAAGATCAGGTCTATCGAGAAAAGTCTCTCCCTTTGCCTAACTAGTACTTTTCCTGCTAATGTCCCCCTGTAAAATGGGTTCATGTTCTTTCCCAACATGGAAACTCCAGGTAAGAGGATTTCAGTTCCCCAGATTTGCAGCAATGACTATGCTGAATGGAAATTCTGAGAGTTGGGGTGTCTCAAGTTGTAGAAATTTTAATCAATTCTGTAAGCTGTCCCCAAATTCCAACAAGACTTACCAGCAATTTAACATATGTATGGGTTTCATCAGACATAGTTTTGGTGGATTCCGATTTTTCCAAACTCTATATTCTATTTCAGCAGTTTGACTTCCATCATAGTAAAAATGATCTATTCCACTTTTCTTAGCTTTTTTAAAAAGTGACTGAGTGCACAATGCTACCTGGCAGATTTTTAATTTATTTTTGCATTGCATTCTCTATAGTTGACTTCTCTGATTAGAAAATGTTCACCTCTTCTGGAGCCACCTTTTTGTTTATACTTTGAGTCTCAATATAATTAAGCTCTGACAAGTTAAAGAAATCTTAAAGCAATTAGCACTTTGGGCGGCACCAGCTAATTCATATGACTAACCCAGAAGAGCATTCTGAAACAACTGTTGAATACACTACGGCAAATCACACGCATGTATTTTCCATAAAGGTTAGGCATAAAAAAGAAAGCATGACATTGTGGATGCATAAATCCACTTGCAACTAAATAAGTAAAACAAACAATAAGAGGTAAGTCTATTCAAACAGAAGAATACAAGTATGGTTTCTTGTCCAAATCTATCTCCCCAAACATGAGCAACATGTGATTTTAAGTTCTAAATGAATGATAATAAAGCATGGATACTAGTGTTAAGATTTGTTTTTTGATAAACAGAATCATAAACACTGCATTAATACTTAGTGTTTTGTAGTGAAAGGGGAAACAAATATCACGAGAGGATCAGAAAAACTTAAATTCATCAAATTTTACCTTGCCAATGTAGACACTGAAGTCAGAAAACTTCAAGAAAGTCAAAATCTGAATGACCATTAAGAAACAGGAAGGTTTCCCCTCTCTCAGGTGAGCTTTTAAAAAGGGGTGGAGGAAACTCCAGTTTGCTTTTCTCTTTTGTCTTTCATCACAATAAGACACCTAGCCTCCTAATATGGCACCATCAGTTAAAAACTGGAGGAAGTAGCCATTTAATGAAATGCAGAGAGAGTTATGATGTAAGAGCTTTTAAAAATGTATGTCATTGATCTATCCCATTTCTTTATACGATATGTTGTTCTACTTGTATGAAATATTCCTGCCTGGAACATTAGCTGAGAGTCAAAGTCCAGAAAAATTATGAAAATTCCTTTCTCCATATTTTCTTCAACTTTCAGCTCCTTAACCTTACATTACATAATAATACCTTCTTTTGAAGTCTGTAGACATTCTGGCAGGGAATTTAGTCTGCCACATAACTTAGTCATTCTGCTACCTACAGAAAGGCAAGAAGATAGAAAGAAGGAATTTGGCCTGCCTCCTCCTGAGAAAATATGAAGAGAAGAAATATTTTTGAGAAGAGTGATATGGTGACAGCACACAGACAGAACCCCAAGCCCAGAATGTGGGAAGTTGCAAGAGTCAGGATTGTGAGTGCAGAATTTAAGGCCTATCACTCGAGTAAGCCAGTGGGGCCAAGCCACATCATCCCTGTGCATGTGTAAGCATGCTCTTTACTACATGTCTGTATATCGAATCAGGGATACGTCATCAAATTCAGAAAATTATATAATTATACTCTGAGTAGTATGCTACTTAGAGTCCCACTTTGCAAAAAGAACAGAGCCATGACAGAAAAATACAGAAGCACAGAAATACATTTACAGGTAGTACTTGAGTTACAGACACAATTGAGCTAAACATTTCCATTGCTAAGCAAACAACTGTGAATTTGGTCCATTTTATGACCTCTTTTGCCACTGTTTTTAAGTGAATTACTGCAGTTGTTATGTTAGTAACATGGTTAAGGGTTTCCCATTGACTTTCACTTGTCAGAAGGTCATAAAAGGTGATCACATGACCCCAGGGCACTGCAACCATCATAAATACATGGCAGTTATTAAGTGTCCAAATTTTCATTATGTGACCACCGGTTTGCTGCAATAGTTGTGTGAAAATTGGTCATAAGTCACAATGGAATGATAATCACCTAACAGTGGGGTTGGTAATATATAAACCAGAGTAGGTATTTAATACTGTTGTATCTTTAAGAGAATGTTGTAATTGTGATTGGCTGAGGTTCCTCCGACGGCCATAAGATGGAGCCAGAAACCTGGTTTGCTCTCTTCTTGCATTTCCTTGTTGCCTTTTGCCTGATTCTGCTTGGATTGCTGTGAGTCTTGCAAACTGTTAGCAAACTCTGTTTACTGAACTTTGTTTATGATACTGGACTTCGTTTTTGGATTATCCCTGAACTGATTGTATTGAATACTACCTGCTTTAACCGTGTATGATTTGGACTGTTTGTTGGACTTTGTTTACCTGTTTACTGGAAGTAAAACCTACATTTTAGTATTCAGTGTATCTGTATGCTGGTTGTGTGTTATTCAACACTACTCTCACTACATTTCCCTGAGTGTATTCATTCTCCTAACGGGAAATACCTCAACAGTTCAGTGCCATCATAATTTCGAACAGTCACTAAATGAATGGTTGTAAATCAAGGACTACCTGTAATCATTTATTAGATTTTTCTTCTTTATTATTTTATAAGTAATCCAATGCAGTGAACAAGAGGGGGGGGAACTTATTATAGTCGCCCACTCCAACTGACTCTGGGCAATTTATATAATCCAAATTTTCGTAGTTTTTAAATTAAAAAATAATTTAAAGATTATTATTTATGTATTTAATATTGTTATCCTTTTGCCAGGTTAGGAAATAAAATTCAGAACAAATGTAGAAGAGATTCTGGATCCTGTGCCCACTTGCTTCTGGGGAAGCAAGAACATGATTCAGTAGACACACGCACACCAAAATAGAGATTCCTATGGTTATTAGAAAGGATCTAATCATGGAAATATAGCAGTGTCAAGCAATTTTACCACAGTTGTCTATTGTAAATGAAGCAAGACATACAATATAATTTATAAAGCTCACCTTGAGGAAGGTGTGGTCTTGAACCGGCCACAGATTTTCTGAGGGCAATTCATCTAAATTACTCTTTGGGAATTGGCTTTGCTTTAGGAAGTCAATTCGTTGCTCGAATTCTTCTATTTCTTTTACAATTGGCTAAAACAGAATTACCAGCAATTACTATGTTTCAAAGTGGATAATGGAACATATATTTTAATAAACTATTAATACTCACATTCAGATTCTAATTTCAATTGGAAGTATATATATGTATGAAAATATTTTCCTAGTAAGTGGGAACACTGATTCATTTAATCCAACTACTCCAATAATGATTATCTGGCTTTCAGAAGATAGAAATAGTGAATATTTGTAGGGGGATTTGTTTTTCTTTATAAAACTTAATTGATAATATATTTTCTGCATTCTTTGACTATCTACTCCTGATTTTCTGCTCCCACATTTTTGCTATTGCTATCTTGAACATGGAGCAAAATAAGGTAGTCCTCATTCAATGACTGCCTTTTGGGGGATTGTTTGCAGTTGTGACCACAATGAAAATATAATTTTGTGACCGGTCCTCATATTTATGACCTTTTAAGATTTGTAAAGCAAAACAAAGCTAAGGTAAGGTCATAAACACAACTGTGGTTCGACTTAGCGATTGCTTCACTTAATGACCAAGTTGCCAGTCCATATTGTGTGTGCTACATATGGACTACCTGTATTTAGGTAGAAGAAACAGTAACTCATTAGCTGAGTTCACACAATACTGCACGACCTGGTTAAACAGCTGATATATTCTGCCATACTTTGGAGCGATACATAGAGCAGTCTTAGGAAAACAGTAAACGTGTTTTCCTAAAGCAGTAAACTTATTTTTCTAAAATGCTTAGTAGTAAACAAGCAGTAAAAAGATGTTGCTCTGCTTGTAGGAGAACCATGCAAATACATTCAAGTTGATTGCTATTGGAGCTTATAATTATTTTAATTTTTGCATCATTTGGAAGCTTCTGAGAACTATTTGGGAATAGTTAACTAAATTGCAGTAGGAAAGAAACAATCCTGCTGCATGCACATTGTTAATATTATATCAATTATGCTTATTTCAATCAAATGCATAGATAGTATGCAAAAAAAATGATTTCCATCTGTGTGTCATTAAAATATCACTGGGTTTTAATCACTAGATTACTCAGCCAATCATATTTTTACTACTGTGCATGTGAGAAAAAGGAATCAGACACAATTTAAAGTTGCTTTAATATATTCAGAGCATTCCAGATCATGGATGTTATGGTTTGTGCTGTATGATAAATGATTAATTATTGCAGTTGACTAGAATGAGTTCCTACAAGTCAATTAAAAATATAAGATATTTTCAGTATCCTGTGCCTTAAATAATCAACCAACCCATATGCATACGATTCAAAAAATAGCTTTTCCATGTGTTATGATCTTATTCAGAAAACACATAATAAAAAATTAGAAGGTGTTTTCCAAGAAGATTCACAAATAACCACTCAATCAATTTGTTTTTACCTCAAGTAGAGTGTTCTGTTTCTCTGTGAGTCTTTCTAGAACCTTCAGCTCTTTCAAAAGCTGTTTAGTTCTTTGGAATACTGAAAGAGGTTGCATTCTCATGTCAGTCAATCTCAATTTTGCTTTATAGGATTGCATTTCAACCACAGCCTTCTTCATGGGGCAGATGTGGGTCAATATAACCTAAAATAGAATGTATTAACAAGGATGGGAAAAGTATGTAAGACTCAGCATGCTTATAGCACTTTGGGAAGTTCAGATATTTATGTTCAAAATACTTCACATATTTGATCTCCGAAAATCTAGGACGGCATGATTTTCAAAATACCTCAGATGGAATCTAGAATTACACCCATCTGTATTTCTCACTTTCCTCCCCACTATATACATCTCCAAAATTAATTTCAAAAATAGCTTCTTGCTCATGGAAATGATGACCTCAATGTGTTACTTTGAACCAGGAATATTAGTAACAGAATCCAAGCACCTTTCTTCTTCCTCTCAGGAGAATTTGTTGGGTCAAATTCTGTAACAATAAACCATCTTCCCCACAATGTAAATGACCTCTGAAATGAAAGAGCCCCATCTGGCTAGATAAAGCTGCTATCTCTACCTTGGGTCTTGGGTTAAAGCACATCTTGCTTTGTCCTGCTGAATTGTCCCAATTCTTGACTGAACCTAATGAGCCACCATTTTCACTTGGCAGATGGGGGCTATTTGGCAGCTACAGGTGGAAGGTTAATGGTAGAAATTTATGGTGATGAGCTATTCAGAGTTAAAAGGCAGTTTTTAAAAATATTATAGCATTGTCATAAAGGAGCAGCAAAAAAGAAAACTCTATCATTACATTTTCAAAAGTTTGGGAATACTTCAAGAATAGCAATGTTTAGAAATAGCTGGCTTCTAATCCAGCACTGTACAGTATATATATATTACACTACAATTGTTCCTATGTTGATTTTTCCAGTTCCTTTTTTAAGTGAAATACCTTACCTTACAATGTTTAAGATGCTCCTTAGGAGAAAGATCAAGTGTGTCTTCAGAGGGGGACAATATTGTCTTTATTTTTTCTATGTCCTTCTCCATTGTTTTCACTTCAGATTCAATAGCTTCAACATCCTACATTTTCAGAAACAATCATAGTACTTATTCTCTGCTGAAGTCTCTTAAATGCAAAAACCAATGGACTCGCAGCAATATAAGACTCAGAAAGCCTACATTTTTATTTATATCTAAAAAGCCACACATCCCTTGAGTGTTACCTTATTAGCCAATTGGTTGCATCCATTTTTTAATTCCCTCATTAAATCATGTGTCATTACCACCTAACAAATATGATTCTCTATTTTAATTCTGAAAAACTGTCTAATATATTGGATGTTATGAGAACCACAAGGACAATATCAAATTTGCTTCTGACCCAAGCTAGAATTATATGAAGCCAAATCAGGTGATGCTGAATAAATTATGCCTTTGCTCTTATGGCCAATAAAAAAAAATATCTTCACCCTTTATTTGCTGTTTTGTTGATATTTCACTATTCTTTGGTCCCAAATGTTTCTGACACATATACCATATTTAAATAATGTTATGTTGTTTTTTCTCCCAAGAACATACTGAAATAAATGCACAACCTTTCTTGCCTACCACAGTCTCACTTTATCTCACCTTTCTCTGGTCTTTCTCTTGCCCCCTCTACTGTTTTGTATTCCAGTAAGAGGCATGCAAGTAGGTGGCTAAATCATCAACATCAAGAATAGCAACTGAACCTTACTAAATCAAACAGAAATAATTGTATTGTTCACACTTACATCAGCCAAATGCTGGATACATGGAAGAATTTCCATTATCTTTTGCTGTAAGGCTTTAACTTGCTCATTTACTTCTGTCAATTCCTGCACCATATTGTCAGTTTCAATTAAAGGGGACAATTCTTTCAGTTCTGGGGAAATGGCACTAAGAATACTTTGCTTTTGTTGTGAATCTTCTAATGCCATCTGGAGAGGAAAAGTTAATATTATTTTTCTTTTTTAAAAAACAAAGACATTAAAATGCATAAAGGAAGCACACAATTTGGTAAAATAAACCTTATCTTCCGAATATTTCATCTGGTTTTTAATTCACTGACAACAGGAAAAATATATATATAGTGAAACATATATTAATATTCAAGAAAAAATGGACATAAATAAGGGCATCCTGATAAATTTATGCAGGAAACTTCCAGTTGGGTGGTGGTATTTAAAGTAATTTCCTACATGAATTCCTCTGGCATTTAATCACAAATTATGTACTGATTTCCTTTGTATTTCAAGCAAACCCTAGTTGTTGCTTTGCTATTTGTTTTGGTTCTGAATTCTTTCTAATTAATCCATCAATGGAAATTAGCTTATGAAAATTAGCTTATTTGTTTAAAATCTGTATTCACATTCAAGCCTTTATTGTCAATGCACAACATGTATACGATGAAATTGAATGAGCTTCCCTTGGTGCAATCCACCCAAGAACACAGAATATATCTCAATAAATCAATAAATAAAAAAGAAATCCATAACACCAGTGTAATACAGTAGCACACATTTCCGTATGTATGTATGTATGTATGTATAATGAATGTGTGTGTGTGTGTATAAAATTAATGTGGTAGATTTAGATTGTGTGTGTGTGTGTGTGTGTGTGTGTGTGTGTGTGTATGTATGTATGTATGTATGGTATTCAGCTTTGTTCGGGTATTTCCCACATCATTGTAGTTTGTGCTTTTAAAGTTGTAGCAACGTTTTGGCAGAATCTCATCTGCCATCATCAGGCTTCTGTGTGTGTGTGTGTGTGTGTGTGTGTGTATGTATATATGTATATATGTATGTATATATTTGTTTTCTGAGGTTCTCGCGGGTATTTGTATGTGGATCTTTGGTTATTCGGGTTTTCTCCCGCGTAAGATTGGAAGTATCTAGGCAACGTTTCGATGAAGTCTCAGTCATCATCTTCAGGCTTGTGTCTTTGGCTCTGTGCTTCTCAGAGTGATGTGAGCTTGCAGCTGCTTCTTCCTTTTAACTGCTAGTGGGGGTGTGACTTGATTGGGTGGGGGCTTGGCTGTGTTCTGATTGGGTGGGGGTGTGTTCTCATTGGTAGGGGGTTTGGCCGTGTTCTGATTGGCTGGAGGCATGTTCTGTTCAGGTGGGGGCTTGGTTGTGCTCAACCTGATGATGGCAGATGAGATTCTGCCGAAACGTCGTTACAACTTTAAAAGCACAACTACACTGACGTGGGAAAATACCCGAATAAATATAAATATATACATGTAAATGAGCAATTAGCATAATACTGCATTCCCAGCTATAACACCTTCAATAAAATAATCATTTATCAATAATTATCCATTCATGAGGGACCAAACCCCTACGTATTCAATGATGTTTTACTACTGACCTTATATGCATGCTGTCACCTGCAGTACCATCTATATTTCTATATGCATAGGCACACCCTCGCCTTATATTAAAGATGGCAACATATGTAAAACATTTCCCCTCATATTGGTTTTCCCTCATTATATCTTTTTCAAAGATTTTTTTAAACTTTCCTATTTAGCCTACTGCCTTGCTATTCCTTAGTGGTCTGTCACCAAAACGCTAACTTAATTGATTCTGTTTAGCTTCCTAAGTTCAGGCTAGCTAGATGCTACTACTTAGGCTAGCATATGTACCTGTACTGGTCATTATCAATGTAACAACATGTTGGCATGGGCTCTCAAGGAGAAGCAATACATTGCTCCCGTCATTTAGTTGCATATCAATTTACCTCAAGCGCACTGGCATGTTTATTCAAAGCTTTTGCAGAATCACTTTTCACTTCCTCTGTTAAGAGGCGGCTGGTGTTTTCAAGCCAAACCTTAATGCTTTTCAGGAGCTCATCACATTCTTCCAACTTGCTAGCAGCCTTTAATATAAGATATCACATATCATTTTACACAAAATAATACATAGGTATCTGAAACACTGGCAGGTCATCCAGATTCCCAAGCAGATTTCCACTCATGCAATAAAACCTTCTCATCATCCCCTCTGCAGCAATTTATGAAGGAAGAGGGAGTGTAAAAATGTTATCTACTGTTATCTACTGACTTTTTTGTCAGTAGATAAATATCACAGGATTATACTCATTGTAAGTCTTAATTAAATATTCTTAGGATATATCACAGCAGTTAAAATTTTAATGTTTAATTTCTGGTTTAAAATATAAGAAGAAACAATGGGCATATACTGAAAATATGGAGAAAGTCTGAAAATAAAAAGAGTGTCAACTCATAAAATATTCCTGTGGTCTTTTAGAGTTGCCAACAAAAAGGGACGGGGAAGCAGTGGGCAGCTTGCATTCCAAAATGTTTTCAAAGATAATTTCCAGGTGACCGAGGTTTCTGCCACACAAAATTCTAACTGGAGAGTATGATTGATGACTCTTGGCTATGGATGCATCCCATTGGAGAATATGAATTATGATACACCCAGGGGGTGGGGGAAAACCAGGGTCAAGGGTGACAATGAATTATATAGAGTCGGCTACACCAAGGCAATGCTGCATCTTCTATCTCCCAATAAATCTTTTTGGAGTTTGGCTAGAGACTCATTTAAATGGGGTTAAGTGTCGGAATCCTGACAAAGAGAATAACAGGTTTTTCAGAGAACAGAATTTCTGCCTTTCCATTTACATATATGATGTCTATTTTTGTTATTATTTTCAGGTGCATGAGGATTACTTTCCTTAAAGGAAGAAAAAAGAAATACTGTGAGATCTCAGCTGAGTATCTACCGTAGTTTTGTAGATAATGCCATATATTCAGAATTTAGGGAACCACTCCACTTTGGGGAGATCTATCAGCCCTTTGGAATTATACCTATGTAGAAATTCACCCTGTCAGCCACACTGATAGATGCATCCTTAAAATATGTGTCTGCAGTGCAATTGATAAAGCTGAGATCACTGCAGTCTGACTGGCAGGAATCAAGAAGCATCCAGATTTCAAACACAAATTATCTTTTCAGTCATCTTTTTACCCTGTTCAAGTTTGTAGTTCTACGCTCAGCATGCTGTGAAACGTGTTGATATCGTTGCAGGGGTATCATCAATCGATCTAGCAATTCTTGAGCCTGGTGGGGATTTTGCTCCACTATATCTTGAACCTCTGAATCCAGTTCATTCATTTTATAATGCCAAAGATCTATCAAATCCCAGATTCTCTGCACGTAAGAGAACAAAACAACAAATGAACAATGGTTCAGCTATGGCTATAGGCATTTTTTTTTCTATTTTAAAAACACCATTCTACTTCCACATTTACACTGGTTAAGGCAAGTCTAGTTTGAACAAGTCACTCTGAGGGCAGAATCAACATCAGTTGGGGAAGGAAAGCTCATTGCTTCATCTGGAGCAAAGAAGTGGGATGTTACCTTCTGAACTTCTTTTGCTTTTGCAATGTTCTCACTCTTTTGATGTAACATATTTTCAATGGCTTGCAAACCTTTGTTAATGTCTTCTATTTTTTTCTCTGTATTGTAGTGAGGAGAATTTTTCAGAAATTCTGTGCTGACCTACCATAGTAAAGAGAGAGAGAGAGAGAGAATAAAGGAAAGTTCAGCCCTGAATTGGAAAAAACAGAAAATAAACTTAAAAACTTAACTATCAGTTTTTTCAGATTATGAATAACCCCTCCACTCTACTTTAATTACCATTTTTATAGTTTAATTTTTAACATCTAGCTTAGATCTGTACATTGCCCTAAGGTGTAATAAAATTATTTGGTAGTACAAAAAGTATAAAAGCCAATGGTTCTCAGGCCAGAGCTGGTAGTTTTTTACACATTCAACTACCACTTATGTCAAAGTTAGCAATACCAGGCAAAAGAGGGTATACTTTAGGAAAGATTGGGAAAAAAGGCTTTGAGTCACTATGGGTATGAAAGAACCTTATTTTCACTGAGAGAGGGTTGATTTGACTTCATTCCTATCCACATTAAGATTCTTATCTAGTCAAAATGTTGCTTAGTCCTGATTTAGGAAGGTAATCTATCCTTCTAAAGTCAGGATTTACAAATGTGCTAGAATAAACCAACCACAGTATCTTATGGTTTACAGAATTATCTGAGCATTTCTTAAAATACTGTCTAGAAGGTTAGTGAAAGGGATAGTGAACAATAAAAATTAGATAGAATTTGTTAGCATGGGAAGCAGAACCCCAAATGTAATTTTCTAGAGAACTAAACAACAACTAACTAGAATAAATCTAGACTTTCAGCAAGTTTCCCTAAGTTTTACAATCAAGTAGGACCTTTTCTTCCAGGTCACGTAACATTTCCTTGCAGTCTTCCAAATGCCCTTCAATACCAACTGGGACTGTTCTATATAGTTCAGTGAACTTGGTTTGTAGGTTGTCCATGATCTGCTTCTTGCTATCAACTACTCTCTGAATCTCCTAACAGGAAAAAAAAAATAGAAATTACTTCAAGATTGGTTGGAGGAAATAACCTCTCCCACTATATCTAAGGTACAAATGGATTTATTTATTTTTCATGAGAAAGCTTTGCAGAGCAAAACCTGAAAGATGCTTACTTTGTTTTATATCATACTTTTCAATTCACTGGGAATACATTAAACCCAATATTTTTCATTGTATTGTCAGGGCTTACTGACAGACGAAATGCTAAAGGAGACACAATGCTTGCTTGATTTAAGCTCCATAAAGAGCTTTTCAGATTCAGAACAACAACAAAAAAACCCTAAAAACAAAAGGTGACCAAAAGTACATTTGCTGGGCCATTTGTTTTGGTGTCATCTTAATGAAAATATCTAAACAAAACAGCTCCTTCCAGTTCTGCGTGAAGGATATCTTTTTCACAGGATAAAACAAACCTGACAGTTGTTAATATTTGTGGCCTAGAAACTCAATCTGGTCTACATCCTCTGGCATGAACAACCGTGAAATACATTTTGTTGCCAAATAACTTGGATCTCTTGCTGAGAGATACATTTCGTTTACAATTATTTGTTTTAATTCCAAGATATCAAAATATTGGATTTTATTTCACAGTAAGAAAACAAATGTGAAAATAAAGAGTATGGGTAAGAACTGCAAAGAAACAAAATTTGATTAAATGTTGGAAGAAGTTTCTTAATAGGGAAAGGTGTTTGTGGAACAGATTACCTCTGTAAATAGTATTGTCTCCTTGATTGGCTGGATAGCCAACAGGACAGATTCATTGGTTCTGGACTATGCAAAGGTTTGGATTACACCAAATCTGTTCCAAAACTAGCATTCTGTAATTCTTTATACAGCCTTTTCAATGCTCTGTCATGTATGGCTTATTTGGTCCTTCTAAATAAGCCATCTATGAAGAGGATTTCTAAATGCAATGGAAAAAACCCTATTTTTCCATTGCATTCCTTTTCTGGTTAAATGTGTATGGATGACAGCATCTGGATACCATGTTTGTTAAGCAGTTAAATGTAGAAGGAAATAAAGGACAACACAATTCTAATAATTATGACTATTGGAAGGACCAGAGATCAATGATACACCAATTTGCAACTCAAAAATTGGAAAGTATGTTATTTATCTAAAGCAAACAAATGGCCCAGAAAATGTACTTTATCTAAAGTCCACTATCTACAGAAGCAGCTTTCTACCAACCTCAAGTTTCAATGCCTTTTCAGTAGGGGTTTCCAAATCTATGCCACAGAGTTGGGATATGATGCCCTGTAATGAAGTCTTCATAGCTTTCAGTTCTTCACTGCACTCAGTCCGGTATGCCATCTCGAATTGCGTGGCCTCTTTTTCTGTTTGAGCCTTTTGACAGAGCCTGAAGAAATTCCATTAGAAATACTATTAAGAAGAAGAAGGAGATTGTGTGTTCTGTGTTTCGGAGGGCCTTGAAGACCTGGTTCTTCCCCCAGGTTTTCAACTAGGAAGGGCATAGCCCATTTTTAGATTTTTGCATGTTTGCAGGCTTCCTAGTTTTTCCTTTTGCTTATTTTTTATTGTTTTATAGTTTTTCTATTTTCTTGTGAACTGCCCAGAGTTGTTGGGAATCAAGAGATATACAAATTCAATGAATGAACCCATAAGTGAATGAATGACCCGTTATGTTCAAATAAGAGACCAGGAATCACGGCAACTCTAAGACTTGTGTCAATTCCCTTTCATTAACATGAATGGAATAAGCAAAAATAAAATTCAAGTGAAATGCAAAGCAAAGTGGCAGGTTCTAGAAAGTATCAGTACTAACATCACATGAAATAATGATAGTTAATAAAACATTGCATTTAAAACTTGGGTGTAAACAGATATTAAAACTTTCTTCCAGCATTCATTTTGGGAAGGCTTGGGTGAAGAAATAAATCCTTGTTGTTTTATTTTTTTTTTATATAAATACCTTTCTGTCTGAAACTTATGCACATTTGCCAGATAATCTAGATCAGGGCTCTCCAACCTTGGCAACTTTAAGATTTGTGGACTTCAATGCCCAGAATTCCTCAAGCAGTTAAGGAATTCAAATTAGTAAAAAAAAAAAAAACCCATCAGAATGTATTTTGAAATCAGAATTAAACTTTGTACAAAATGTTGTATGACTTCACTCAGCAAGCCTGTTTTATACTTACTCTTCTGTTCGTTGCTGCATGTTTTGAATTTCACAGATAATAGGAAGGCTTTCCTTTCCAGACGAACTCCCAGGGACACTCAAAATGTACCTTAATCGGCAAAGTATTAAGCGTAGCAATAATTTCTCAGTATCCAAATTTTCTATATAATTGCTTGCGGATTCCAGAAATTCTTCCAGTTCTTCTTTGGTTGCTTGCTGTTTGTCTTGGACGCTCTCAGGCAGCTCTTCTTGAAGACTGTCTAGAATAATTGTTTCTCGTTCCAGCTAGAGAGAAAATAAGCAAAAAAAGAGAAATATTGATTCGGGGGAATACATGGAAAAGACATTTAAGTAGATTGAAGTTGCACTTCTACTCACACTTATTTGGAAATAAATTCCTCTTAATACAGGGGGACTTATTTTTCTACAAATATTTGCAGTAATGCTTTTATCGATGTATTCATTTTATGTAAGAAATATAATGGTAAGGGATTTACTATATTACTTTTGTTTAAAATGCAAGTATAAAAATGGCAGCTGCAACTACAAGCTGCAAAATGAAATGCTTCCAAATCACCTTTAATCCCCAATACAAAGTACAACAATCACTATTATCTACTGATAGCCACTGAACCTAAAATCATTCAGCTTCACTGAATAACCCCAGATTCCAGTAAGAGAAATTAAGCTCTATATTTTCTCCACATCATGCATGATTTTGTGTATAGGTAGTCCTTGTTCATCAATCAATCGTTCATGACCATTTAAATTTACAACAGTGCTCAACAAGAAGCCATGTTGGTGCATTGGTTAGAATGTAGAATTGCAGGCTAACTATGCCCACGGTCAGGAGTTTTATCCTGACGGGCTCAAGGTTGACTCAGTTTTCATCCTTGGTAAAATGAGGACCCAGATTGTTGAGGGCAATTTGTATGCTGACATTTGTAAATGGCTCAGAGAATGCTGTAAAGCACTATGGAGCAGTATACAAGTTAAGGGGATTTACAATTATTCCTCCTAGTTGTGGCCCTCACAGTATCCCTGCAGTCATGTGAATTGTGATTTGGGCCCTTGCAATCAACTCTCATTACAACATTGTGGCATCTTGTGGTCATGTGATCCCCATCTGAGACTTTCACTACCAAGTCCAACAAGCAAAGTCAATGGGGAAGTCAGCAGGAGGTTGCAAATGATAATCCTATGAAGGCAAAGTGCTGCAACTGCACGATATTTATTTAACAGCAACTGGAATGCTTAGTAATGAAGTCTTTAGTCCCAATTACATTGTTAAGAGAGGATTACCTGTACTACCACTGCTCTATCCTTCATTCATTTTCAGGTGACAAACCAGGCAGTTTTATCTTCTTCAGCCTGTCTGTACTTAAGACAATCAAACAAGTCCACTTTACAACTGAGTTTGAAAACATCAGTCAGGTGTTCCCCTATTACTCACTTCTTCACTGACAGATTTCCATTCTTGGTTCTGTTCTTCACATTTGCCTTCCCATTCTTTTGTGATATTGAACAAACAGAGCCATTTCAGCCACAGCATTGATACAATGGGTACAATCAACCCTCCATCGTTTTCTTTGCACATCAAGCTTAGAGCCTGTGAGTCTCGTCTCAACCTCATTAGCTCCTCTTTGGTTGAAAGTAATTGGGACAATAGCATCTATAAAGGAGAGTATAAAGAGTAAAGTATAAACATTGAGTTTCAATCATCTAGTCGGGGGGAAAAAGGCAGAGTACAAAAACAAATTGCGACAATCAAGCCAAAGTATCTCAAGCACCCGTAATAATATCTAAAATTGTACACTTCACAGCAAGGAAGGAGTCAACAAAAAGTCTGCTTCTTTACAATCTTTGCAATCATGTGTTGTAGATGCAGATTTGCATCCATTACCCACATTTTGACCATGATGTCAGCTAACCTTTGAAGACTAACGTTAATAACTATTCAGAATATAAATTACTGTAATTGTTACAGCCAGTGTGAAGTGCATTGAATTCTCTATTGTAAACATGGTTCTGAAGACATATAAGCTATAAAAAATATATATAAAATATTAAATTATGGAGATGATGATGATGACGATGACGACGACAGTCCTCACCTTGCTTTGTTCTGAATGTTCTAAAGAATCTTTGTAAGATACTGGAATATAGTACAAATACTTCCAAAGCACTTTTTCTGCATTGTTAAGCTCATCACATATCCTCTCTTTGGAGTTTTTGAAACTGTGATATTTTTCCATATACCTACAGATGCAAGAGTATTTAAATAAGATTATTTAAATTGATCCCAATAATAGAATTATGCAGTCAGCTTTTAACTACTGGTAGAAATAAAAGTGGTACATAGGAGAGAAATTGACAGATCTTCCCAATCATTTTACATAGTATTTTAAACAGTACTTTACACAAGAATGCACAAGAATTTCCAAACCCACTATTTTAGGCTGGTGGGTTTTACCTTAATCATGAGCAGGTGAGCAACATAGTAAAACTGTGACCAGCTGTGAATTCCTTTTTGCTCTAAAGCTAGTCGCTCAGTCAAGATTTCTTAATTTTATTTCATCTCACTGCTCAGCACAAATATGTCCAAATTAGTCCGAATTGGCTGAATCCCACCCCTGGTTGTAGCTCAAAGGACCAAAACACATCTTCCATTCAGAACATGGTCAAGTTTGATTTCTAGCATGTCCAGATAAGGATGGTAATCTCTGGGGTAATTGTTCTCATCATTCACTCTAATAATCACCAACAATATTAGGTGTGTCAAATATCAGGGGTGTCAAACGTAAGGCTTGCAGGCCAGATACAGCTTGCAATGAGTTCGGATCTGGCCCTTGGGGCCGTCCTGGTCTACCCAATGCGATGAGGAATGATTGGGCCAGCGTGGCTTCAGCCCGGTTTGGGGAGTGGCATCAAGTTGGCCACACCCAGCCACCCAGTCATGCCCACCTGGACCCCCAAAGTCAACCACATCCCTGATACAGCCTTCAATGAAATTGAATTTGACACTGTTCCATATTAGCAGGCTTGAAACCCTGCGTTCCTATTGGTCCAGAAAAGCCGGATCGTGATTGGATGGCTTGAATGTTCCTGATGGGCTCATACAGGGTTTGCCACGATTGGCTGAAACCAAGTGCGGCAAACTCAAAGAGTTGTCATTGGCTGCCTAGCCATGGCCAGCTCTATAGGAAGAGCTGCTGCGCGCTAGGGTGTTTTGTCTCAGAATCTGTTAAATAAAGAGCTGTTGTTCACTACTCAAGCCTCATCTATTCATGGGACCCACCGACCATACTTAACAGACACCCCTGGGCTAGATGGATCAGTGCTGTGATTCAGATAGGGCAGTTTCATAAATCCCTGAAATGATGAAAATGTTCATCCTACCTCTGTATGTAAGAATTTCTCTTTTGGCTCTGCTCTTTTATAGTCAAATTCTTAGCAGTTAGATCATCAAGCGTTTTCTCCATCTGCAGTTTGGCTTTTGATTTAATTGACTTTTTCAGAGTAGAGGTTAATGCCTCCACTTCAGCCTTTGCAGACTCGGATTCTTCTTGTTTCTTGGCAAAGTCAAGATGAGATTCTTCTAATTTAGGTAAATCAAGCAATGGGATGGAAAGAAAGGCTTCACACTGACTGAGGAGATCTGCAGATTTTTCGACAGCTTTGTTGTAAAGCTTCACCATTTTAAAAGCTTCATCTAAAGCTTCCTGCACAAATAAATAGTTAAAAGCAACGTTATTATACAAGCCGAAAAATGATTCTCTTCTCCCAAATGTTTTCTTGAATTACAGTTCCAAGGCATACCATTGCAGCCCTGATCTAACTTCGTGTCTGTTAGCTAGTGGATTTTTTACTCAGGGGTGTCAAACTTGCAACGACACATTGTCATCACATGATGTATCACAACGTTTTCCCCTTCACTAAAACGGGGTGGGGGGTGGGGGGGTGGGCATGGCCAGCGCATGATGCATCTAGCTCACAGGCTGCGAATTTGACACCCCTGTTTTAACTGATGGTCAAAGAGCCTACAGATGCCTAGGCCCACCTTTTGCTGTTTTTAACAATTTTCCAAAGTTAAAACAACCTTGAAAAAAAAGGTTCTGCTGCGTATTTCACTGGTCAGCTGTTGTTTGTTTTTAAATTGCATGGTTATCATTAAATTTATATTTAGTTTGTATATATTTTAATTAGCTTCCATATTGTTTTTAAAAGTTTTTAACCCACTTTAATTTTTTGCCACTTTAAATTGGCATTTAATAAATGCAGAAATTATTTGAGTGATGGAAGGCTAACAAATTTGGGAAGGAGAAAAATATAAGAAAATATCAATTTTGCTACAGTTAGCTTAGTTCATATAGAAAACAAGTTGAATTTTTTTTTATTAAAAATACATATAAATCTGAACAGATATCTACTATCAAAGAAGTATCCAGAAGCTTTTATTTATTCAAAGCCATAATATATTATTCTAAATAAAAATGTTCATGTGTCTCAAAATATTTGAAGACTGGTAGTGAGAAGGACATTGCAAAGTCAAGGATAAAATGGCAAATGAACTTGTTCATAACAGCTTCTATAAATCCATCAAACATCTCAATAAACTGACAGGGTCATAGAAAAGAAGCCAGTCCTTTGGATGGCAAGTCATTAACAGTCACAGATTTGAATATTTTGTGACTGTACTTATGTCAGAGCAAAAGCATTGAGAAGTATTGCGATATTCACTACAATCACTGTCAAAAATACATGCTTTTAATAGTGAACATTTTATAGCCCTATATATTATGCAATATACTGCAATGCAATGCAATGTACAGCACTGAAGGTGTTACCTAGTTGGGTAATGAAACATCTGCAAGAAAACAACCAAGCTCAGAGAATTCCAAGGTCTCCACAGGATATTTTATTACATTGAATTACAAAACCCTTCTACTTATTTTAATAGTATCACCAGTCTTTAAAAAAATTTCTTTCAGTAAAAGTTAAGATGGATCTGCAATTGTGTCATTATTAATCTATTAAGAGAGGGAAGGAGGGAGGGAGGGAGTGGGGGAGAACTTACAAGGCCTAGAAGTCAAATCTGTTACATGGATATCATGTAAAATATAGATAAAAAGCATGGTATTTCATAATCAATCCTTATATGGAAGCAACCAAAGTTTGTAAAGTTGTTTACAAAGAAACAAAACTGTAAGGACTACTTACTGTGTATTTAGCAAAGTCTGCTTTCAGTTGTATTTTCAGATTTTGGAATTCCTCTATTTCTTTATCTAAACTCTCAGAATGGAGGCATATTTGTTTTGTAGATGATTTCTCTTTAGTTATTATATCTTCAGCAGAATGAATTTCTGCCTCTATAGCACCTTTAAGCACTTTGCAATACATCATTTCATAGGGAATCATTTGAATTTTCAAGTCAAGTAGGACAGGCTGCTGGAACTCAGATTGAATTTGCTTTAAAGTCCTTAAACTGTGGCCCAGCTTACTCTGGAAACCTTGTTTGTACTTGCATATTTCTTGATTAGCTACTATCACAGAACAGGTAATTTGTTCCAGCCCATCTATTTTTGCATCTAAGGACTTTATTTGCTGCATGTTGGCCTTTTTGAGAGAGACACTAAATGACTTATTTTTCTTGAATAGCTTGAATGCTTCTTGAGTTATATATTTGGCATGTTCAACTCGCCACATCAATTTTTTCCCCAATATCAGATTGGCTTCAGGAGTAGAACTGGTAAGATCTTTTAAATCACCACATTCTTTCTGAATACTAGATACTATAGCTTCAATCTCACTTAGGACTATCTGATGCCTGTCATGTTCTGCAAATAAATTCTTCAGATATTTAGCTCTCTTGTCAAGGTTATCCTTTGCTTTGCAGAACTGATTTTTCAGCTCAACAAGTGGTGATGTATCCCATTTCGGATCCAGCCATTTCCAAAACTCCTGGTATTGGTCCAGGTATGATAAACGTGACTGGATGGCTAAAGTTCTCTCTTTAAACATATTCAGTTTATCTTTTATGGCTTGATTCTTAGAAAGTAACTCATCTGGACTTAGTTCCAGCTCATCAAAATGAAAATTGCTTAGATCCTGCTGTAAGGCCCTTATCTCTTCTGAGAATTTTTGATAGGCACCCATTTTGTGTTGTGCTAAACGACCCTTAATTTGAATTACCCTATGGGCCCTCTTTGCTCTACTTCTCAGACTTTTCAAACAATCATTTAAAAACAGTTGCTCAAAAGTATTTAATCCTTCAGATGAATCTTTGCAGTTTGCATCTACAAGGGCTTCCATCTCCTGGACCTTCTTGGGAATCTTTTCTAAAAGATTCTGCATGTGGTCAAATTCAGACTTTATATTTGTTTTATCAATATCTAAGCTAGATGCTGCCACGATCTTCTGAAGTTGTGCTTCAAATTTCTCTATATTTGCAAAAAGTTTTTCCCTTTTTCCAAGCTGAAATTCCAGCTGTTGTAACTTCTGAGATGATTTCAAAATAAGGAATTGGTAACCAGTTTGCAACTCATGTGAAAGGATGCTAAGTGCAGAATTCTCCTTTGATGGCATGTGAGAAGCAACATGCTGGGCTTCATCTGCTAGCCTTATAAAAGTTGGCTCTTTTTCTTTAGCATCACTGATTACAGCCTTACAACATTTAATTTGTGAGAGGAGATCATCTGGAAAGAGTGCTGCCCTCTCATCAAGATGGTGCATTAAAATTTTATTCCCCAAAATGGCATCTTCTATCTCTTTCCTTATTTCATATATCTGGGGATGACTATCAGTTATTTGGACATTCTCTTTAGGGGTTATTTGCTCCAATTCTTCTACCTGGCTCTGAAGATCATTTATTGTGTTGTCTAAGGCTGTTTTTCCTGGATTGCTCCACATTCTTTTCATCTGTACTTCTGCATTTCTTTTTAATAAAGAAATGTTTCGCTTAAGAATGTGCAATTCTAAAGGAATCGATATAGGGCATGGATGCTCTTCTGTACCAGGAGCACTCAGGCCTGTTTGCAAATCATGTTGCTGTTGCAAACATCTTTGGAGCTCCTCTGCTTTGTCCATGAAAAGCTTAAACTCATCCATTTCTGCTGCAACACAGAACTGCTTCTTTTGAAGACAGTCCCCCATTTGTTTCCACCACTGCTCTGCTTGATCCACCTGGCTTTGTACTAATTCTCTGTCCAGAGTAGACAAATGTCTAGAAAGATTTTCTTGTTCAGTTTTCAGCTTGTCTAAAAGACTATTTTCTTTTTGTAGAGACGCCAACAATTTGTTCAAATTCTCTAGAAGAACTGTGTCTTCCACGGGCCCCCTTCTGCAATAGAAAAACAGACATAGCTATCTTTAATTTTTTTTTGGAAAGTCAATTTACTCAACATGCAATCACTAATCAGGTATTATTTCATATATATAAAATTACATTAAAGCTCTGCCATACATTGGATGTAATTACTAAGGATGAATATGTATGCTTTTAAAATTTAAATATAATCGGAACCATTCCAAAAAGGGATTTTATATATAAATAATAGCTTAGCAATAATTGCTGCAACTACAATGCTTATTCATTCCTATCCTATGTTGATTTACTAAGCCACAATAGGAAAATTCAGATATTAGTACTGCATATAAATCATATTATTCTATGTCTACCCCAAGCCTTTGGGAATATAACAAATTACAAAGTAAATGAAAGAAAAGGTTTATCTTTATGGTGTACACTAACAATAAATTAAGTTAATTATATCAGATCCAACAGATGTAGAAACATGGTCCAGGAACTTACGTATATATCTTTTCTTTTTCTGCTAATAAATGTTTCATTGAAGACTGAACAGTAGCAAGACATTCATGGTAGCGATTGACTAAATTAAACTGATTCTGCTTGGCTTCTTTAGCAGCCATTAATTCTTGCAGGAGTCTGTCCCAACTGGAAGAAGTAACACTGTGGGCGCCCTGGTGGTTTGGCTGACTTTCTTCTGCCACCGTTGAGTGTTCTGGCCACACTGACAAAGCTTGGGCTTTCTTCTTTTCTAGCTGCAGACACAAATCCTATGACAGAAAATCAGATGGGGTGGATGGGTCTTGTCTTGTTTGTTTTTTAAAAAGGGATTGTTTTCATTTTTATGTCTTTTTGATCAGTTCAGATGAAATATCTATTTACCACGTATTGTATTACTAACTAGAAATGGTCAGATACTTCCCCAAAGTCCACATTTAGGGCACCAAGTCTAGTGAAGCTGCTAAGGTGAAGAGGGACCTGGGCAAAATGCAAAATGTCATGGACAACAGGGAGGAAATTATTATAATGAGCTGCATGGGCTTATGACCATTTCCTCCATATTGTCCATGACATTTTCTACCCCTTCTTAAAAATAAGAGGAAAAGACATCTCCCCGTATACCCCATTTCTCCTGCCACACATAAATATGTAACCTTGGATCATTCTTCTCAAAAACAAAGGAATAAGTACAAGTTTTCAATTCATTTGTTTAATCACATTCTCTTTCTCTACTTTTAGGATTGGTATGGAGAACAGATCACATTTTAGGTCACATTTATGCATTTATGTGGAAAGTTCAAATGGGTCCGCAGATTTTTAAGCAACATTGTAGGTGAGGTCACTCATAGAAACTCTTCCTGTGCTATTTTAGGCAGAAGGATGCCAATTGGTGGGAACAATCAATGCTATTATCCCCTTCGTGTTGTTGAAATGTTCATGTATCCAATGACATGAGATTGCACTATCCAGAAATAGCTATGAGGCTCTCATGTGCCTGAGCAGACGAGTGGGAGAATAAGAATATAACAGGGACTAACAGAGTGCTTACAGCTATGCCAATGAACATATTGTTTTCTTACCTCCATTTCTCTCAGTTGATCTTTCATTAACACAATATCTAACTCTGCAGTCCAAATCTTCACTTTGTTGATCTTTTGTTCCAGCTTAGCATACTCAGCAATTGCTTGGTCTTCGAGATAACCCTGCTGGGAAATTCAAACAGGTAATTGCATTGATTTGGCATAAATTCTTTTGCAATCTACAGAACAACTAATTAATCCTATATCAATTATCCAGATTTTTTGTTTAATTGAAGAAAAAGGTATCAAAAACAAATCTTGCTGGAAGTCACATCCTCTCTACTTTCCTCATTGTTCTTGCTAAGATGATTATTGCCCCCCCCCCTTGCAGGATGGAGGGGTTAGAAAAAATACCCTAAACATTGCCTGCCCCACAACAACATCTGGCTAGTTAACCATGTTTAGCAGATCACCTTAGCAGTCAAGAATCAAGAAAAAAGAAAGAAAATTCATTTTTGGAACCTGGAATGTCTGTACCTTCCTGGACATAGACAAATACAAACAAGACACCATGTTGAGGGACCAACTGGTTTTTTTCTCATGAAATTCTCATTGCTGAAAAATGCAAGAGTGCAATAATGGGAATTTCAATGGAAGAAAAATATTACGTTTATGGTGAATATTGCACTTCAAGTAAATTATTATTTTTTCAATCCAAATATACTATGTTTCCCATATTGCATAGTATTCTGTATCTACTTTCCCTTTTAATTCCATGGTTAATTTATCCATTTCCACACACTTGAAGATTTTTTTTAATTATTAAACCTTCAGGTACGCATAGGAAATTCTTACTAGTGTTAATACGTGTAACATAAGATATTTTATCTTTCTATTGTAATTTCTTTTTATTATCCTTATAAGATATAATTCAGGGACAAAATCAATTTTGCTTCCAATTAACTCTTCTAACCACATTTGTATTATTTTCCAATATTTTTTCGCTTCGGAGCATGACCACCAAGAATGAAATAAGGTACCTTGTTGTTGTCAACATTTCCAGCAATTTGGTGTTAAAGTAAAGTAAATTGATATGTTTGTTAGTTACTATTTGGACCTGTTCCTTTGATTTTTACTCTTTTGTTTACTATCCAAGGTTGAGATTCTGAGTTATGACTAAACAATTAAAGAATAAGTAAAGTAAATAAATACTTCATCAATGGTACATTACACCAGTATTAATTGCCAATATAGACAATGCATTCTTTAAAAAATTGTTGGAAATGCACTGAGCTGATCAGACTATTTTTCCATTTTTGGTAGCAACAGTTAAACTTCAAAAATTTGGAAAATATAATAGAATGAAACAAATTCTAAAAGTTGAATTTCCCTTCCAACCTACCATTTTCTTTTAAATATTGTTAAACCTGACTATCCCCTTAATAACTGCATATTAATTTGATTTTGATAAAGAACAAATATTTTAAAATGTGGTAAGATACATAAATATGTGGAACAAAATTTATATTATTTTGATATTTTATTTGACCATTCGGTTTGATAATGCTGTAGATCTCTCTACTATTTGCTTATTGGTTGTTTCTTTTTTCACATTTTTTTCTTTTTTCTGTTTCTCTTTCTCAGTTGTGGTTTTTAAGTCTCTCTTTCTCTCTCTCCCCCCCTCTCTCAAAATAAAGATCTGAAAATGCACATGTGAAACTGAGAAAAAAAGAAGCATTATTTCAAAAGCCAAATCTTATTTTAGAGGGAATTAACACTAAAAAGAAGTTTATTCTACTCAGCATCATATGAACCAGTATTCCTGGGCCAGTGGCCCACCCACCACTATTGGAAACTGAAAAAAGAAAGGATGAAATTGATTGAATTATGGATTAATAGCTATCCTGGCTGAAGAGGTAGCAGTGCACAAGAATAGCACTTAACAAAGTCCTTCAATGAAGTTGTGCAACAACAGAGATTATTACCTTGCTTTCCGGAGATGGATGTATAATGGGCAAAGCAGTAGGGTCAGCCTCCATTACCTTTCCGTTCATTAACGGCAAAATGGTTTGAGGCATTTCTGACCAGGCACATGTTGCTTGCAATTTCTTTTGATAGCCTTGCTGCTGTTGCGGAGATTCATTGGGATAATCATCCGCCAGTATTTGCTCTGATTTCCGCCGCTGCTTTACACACTGGCTTGCTGAACTTTGGAAATTGTGGGCTTCCATTAAATTGCCTTTCAATTCCTGCTAAGTAGAAGTAGAATGGAGGAGAAAGGAGGGGAAAGAGAGAAAAATCATAACCTTCTCGGGACAGCAGGTACTGAAATGTCAATTGCTTTCTTAATGGAAAGATAGTGAAAGAATAATAGAATAAAGGGGTGGTAAAGGTCAGAGAAAAGCACATCTGCACAGACAGCTCTCTAAGGAACAATATTATGAGGATGGAGAAGGTTGTTCAAAGCTCTGACAAAGTTAATTGGCCTAAAAGTTTTCTTCTTCTATGGCTGTAATCTTATAATTCTGAGGAGATGGGTCCCTACTAACCAGATTCAGTCTGTTTACTCTCTATACTGTGATGCAGCTTGACATACAAAGGGGTTGGAGAAAGTATCCATGAGGAGAGCTCAGGTCACGTAAGGCAATACTGTTTAATGCAATTGTGTAGAAAGCACCTCTGTCTGGAAAGCTGTTTTCCATCAGAAATGGGAGCACTGGACTAGTTTTGTAATAAAATGTAGGATATTGCACATACAGAATTGATAGGTTGAGTTCCTGGCATCTTCTAACTGGACTGGGAAAGACTTATGCTTGAAATTACAGGCACTCCCTGACAGTTTGTATCAGGACTAGATGAAAGGCCACGCTTTTGAAGACAGCGAAGTCCACATTAGGACAGAGAGGACCAGTGGTTTGAAAGAGGGATCAAAGAGGCCATTTATGTCATAATTGAACAGCCCTCTCTCAATGGGGGAGGGGGGGAATATGACATCATCTATCTCCAGTCTACATCACAGCTGTTTCAACAGTTCCAAGAAGGTTTCACACTCATTTGCACCACTCAGGTGACCCTGATGACAGGTAAACCTCCAGGTGACCTCAATGCCTTGTTAAAAGAATACAAATGACCAGCTGTCTGCAATGAGTATAAATCCTTCCATTCCCCACTAAAGAAGCTAAAGAAGCTCCTTAGATGAGAAAGAGAATGCAGCAGACAGTATAATACAACTGATGTCTGAAACATGTACAAGTTACATTGGCCCTATGGTATGAAGTAGGGGTGGGATTCAAATTTTTAAACAACTGATTCTGTGGGTATGGCTAGGTGGACATGGCCATGTGACTGGGTGGGTGTAGCCATGTGACTGGGTGGGCATGGCTTCTTTTTTTCAGCAGCAGCAGCACTCCCTGTGTTCCATTTTGGGGCCTTCTGGGCCACAGGGGAGCCTTCGGGGGGGGGGTGTTGCTCCCAGAAGGCTTCCTTGGCACTCAGGAAGGAAAAAAATGGAGCCTGGGGTGTGCATGCAGCATCCCCATGCTCTGTTTTGGGGCCTTCTGGGCCTCAAGGGAGCCTCCCGGGGGGTGTTTTTACTCCCAGAAGGCTTCCCTGGGGCCCAAGAAGGCAAAAAAATGGAGGGGTGTTGCTGCACCTCCCCTCCACTTTTTGCCTTCCTGGGCTTCAGGGAAGCCTCCTGGGCAAAGACAGCGAGGGGAATCCTGGCACAGGAACAGCTGATCATCAGGAGGGGAAAAAAAGAAATACCTTAAGGAGTGACTGGGCAGGGAAGAATGTAGTCAGTGATGTCGGGCATGCACGATGTTACGCATGTGTGATAAGGACTGATTGGGAGGGGAGGAGAGGGGTGGGCAGAGAGGGGCCAGGGGCACGATTTGTCAGTTGTCCGAAATGTGCAGAATCATAACAACCGGTTCTATAAAATCTGTCCGAACTGGTAGAATCCCACCCCTGGAATGAAGCATCTTTAACATGCTATCCCCATGGATTTGATAGAAGGAACGGGACTGTTCAGCTTTCCACAAGTTGAATCTGAGGAAAAACATCCAGTATGGCAGATATAAGCAAAATCAAATGCTGATGGTTCTTGTATCTGTTTATCTTAGTTCTGAGTATTTTTCTACTGTGTCTTGCCAGCTGCAACTATCCTATAAATACCTTGCTTGTCTACCTCTTGAATTTATTTCATCAATTTATGTGGATAGTATTATAGATTATATAGATTGACCATTGCCAGAAGAACCACGAAGGCCTCAGTTATGAAAGCTTTGCATTTGTAAAGTGTCACTCTGCGTTAGTTTCCCTGATTATAATTGTATGTTCCTGCTTATCTAAAGACTATGGGCTTGCTATCCAAAAAAATTGTAACTCCTCTGGATAAGACATTAACTTGTTGCTGAAAGCATAACAAAATAGAAGAGGGCATTGAACAGTATTTGGTGGGGAATACAAGCTACGCATCTACACTGCAAAATTTGGTGTTAAGAGTTGTCTGCATCTCTTTGTTGCCCTCTGTGGGTTATCCAGTTTTTACCCCATGTTTGTTTGTTAGTTTATTTAAATTTATCACTCTAGCAGACTCTGGGTAGCTTAGAAAATTTAACACTAACTAAAACAGTTAAAAACATTGACAAAATATAACCCCTCAGCATGACAGCCCCAACAACATATTAATCTCAGTTGAAGACCGTCCTAGGACCAAATCCAGCCTTAAGGGGCTTTTCAGAAACCAGGAAAGTGGATGCCATCTGTATCTCTGAGAGGATGCTTGTTCCAGGGGCAGCAACAGCCCCCAAGATGGCACACTTTCCAGATACCATAAAATGGCAAGATTTAATAGAAGAGACATGGAGCATACATATTCTGCCCGGACACACTGGCAGTTTAGTAATCCTAGGAAAGCCCACGTGAATAGTTTTCATTGTGATCTCAAAAGTACAGACAGGAACACGTGGAGACAAGGGATCCATTGAGTACTATGGCCTAAAGCTATAAAGAAGTATGAAAATCAAACCAACATTTTGAACTAGATCCAGAAAAGAGCCAAGAGCCAATGGAGGTGACAAAATGCTGTCATAATAAACTCATAATACCGTTCATGGCTATGAGATGCTTTCTTTCTCAGCAACAGCAAGGGGCAATAATCACAGCATTGGAGGCACCAACCCAGAATATGAGGTTGTCTCTCAATCCATATGTCACTTGTTTACCTGCTCTCCCTCCTGCTGCTGGGAAAGAAAATGCAGTGGAGAGTTACAATCTTCTTCTTCTAAAGAGCTGTGGGACATTTTTCTCCCCGCTGGAAGAGTGGGAGGAGAAGGTGATAGCAGCAGATTAATTCCTAATGCACAGCAATGGTAAATTTGTTGCTATGGAAGAGTTGTGCCAATGTTTTCAAAAAGGACTTTAAGCACATTCACTCAGTGCTCATCCTTTTATAGATGTCCTTAAAAATACATGAAGACGATATGGAGAATAAACCAACTGGTCCATATCCTGCAGAACTTTATGGAAGAATGCAGAATTTGGTCTCAGTCCAGGATTATCCACAGACTTTTCTTTAGGTAAGTGGCTGGAGAACACTGAATTAGAAAACTATTCAGTTTTTTACTTTCAGAGGAGTTATTCAGGACAGTTAAATTGTTTCTTGAGTGCTGCACATTTTCTGTAATGATTCTTGCTCTCTTATTACCTATCAGCAATATTCTAGGAATAAATAAACCAGCTATTTCAAAATAGAGAAACAGCAAATTTATAAGGAAAGAAATGGAAATATACTGGTGACTGTAAAGTCATATCCTTTACTAATCCAGGCCTCATCATTCCATATCATAAACACTATTTTATGGAAATGGCATAAAAAAAAACCCTTTAAAATCCATTCTATCAAATGTTTGAAAGTAAGATTGTCAGGGAGAGTAAATGATTACCCCAGTAATGGCAGCTGCTCTCTCCTCATATCCAAGTGCTAAGGAGCTTGGTAACTGTACTTTATTTGTAAACCATTCTGGAAATAATTCTGGAGCTTCTCTATCCAGTTGATTTTTCACTCTGAGGGGATTTTCCTTCAAAAACAAGAGAATGAAATAATTAAGTCAAACAAAGATTGCAGAAGTTGGAGAATTATTATATGTTACCTCTGTATTCACATTCATATTATATGATTATATACTATATTATATATTATATTTATATTCAGAATACATCATAATAATAGCCAAAGGTCCATAAGATCTGGATGTGCCATCAAGTCCTGAGAAGCCCAGAGAACTGGTATACTAGTAAGACAGCTCCATTATTATTAACATACTTTTATTCTTTTTTTAAGCTGTGTTCTATCATTTTTAATGTTTTTAATAATAATTATTATTTATGAACGATTGTTTTTTGAGTATTGTTGTATGCTGTCCGGTGTTACTTGTTTTGTGAAGTTAATGTCTATACAAATTTGAAAATAACCTCTGAGTAATGTTTTATTGTACAAAATGTCCTGTCAAAAGAATATGACTGCAAGTTTGATTAAAAGGGTTAAAAAATGTTGCATTATATCTGGCAACTTCCCACCTTTTTTATTCAATTTATTTATTATTAGACTTCTACATTGCCCATTTTGCAGAGGCAGCTCACTTAATCCCAACATTTACTAGCTAATTGTAATTTCATTGAAAGCTATTTACACATGTGTTTTATTTCAGTAATGCCTTATTTTTATCCAAGAAATGCCTAAGCATATATTGCTTTTAATACTATTCTCAACTTGTAAACAAAATCTGGCTTCTGATCACCTCTAAAGTTTACAGAGGAAGTTTTATGTACAATATTTACTACCCTGCTCTGCAATTAAAAAATAAAAGCTGCATGTAGGCTTATAAAGCTCCACAATTTTATTTTATTTTATTTTTAAAATGATATTAAACAACTTTACTGAACGTCTGTATAAAGTTCAAGTAGGAATATTCCTACCATCTCAGAATAGTTTCTGAGCATGTGTGTGTTTATGTACAGGCACACATGCAAGCATTGCTTATTTTCTTTCCACACTGGAACCAGTCTTTATTTATTTATCACCATCAATTTATTTACTATAATTATCTGTAGGTCATCTACTTGAATGTCTTTAGGCAGTTTACAACTATATATTTATACCAATGTTTTTCAATCTTGGCATCTTGGAGATGTGTAGACTTCAGTATGCTGGCTGGGGAATTCTGGGAGTTGAAGTCCACACATCTTCAAACTGCCATGAATAACAAACACTGCACTGCCGGCTTATTATTGTAAAATAAAATATTCAGATCATTAAAATCTTAACAATTCTGCTTCTGTCTTCCATAAAGCCCAGAAATAGTCTGAATAACAGTTGTAATAAATCTGCATTGGAATAGAGTAGAGTAGGATAGAATAAGGAATAGAGTAGAGTAGGATAGAATAAGGAATAGAGTAGAGTAGAGTAGAGTAGAGTTGGAAGGGACCTTGGAGGTCTTCTAGTCCAACCTGCTGCTCAGGCAGGAAACCCTGGAGCCATGGGCCTCACTGTGAAACAAGTTCTTCCAGATACATGATGGTACCAAAAAAACCCTGATTGATCCCTGCTTAGCCTTCCATGACGAAGACATGTAGAGAAGGGCTTGTGAAAATAAGTTCAATATTTGAGCAGATTTATTTGGGAATAAGTGGAAACACCAGGTAAAATGAGTTACTGAAATTTTCATATAATCCCATGTTCAGTGGTAAGGAGCTCCCTCCAAATAATGTAACATAACATAATTTTTAAAAAATCAGAGAAAATAAGCAATTCTGGATTCCCATCCCCCTTTGGATATTTATCCCATAATATTACTAAATTTCTTCCACAAAACTAACCTCTTGGGGAGCAAAGGGGATGCTAGAAATTACCAGTTTCTCTCTGTTTGTTGTTTCATTATCCATCTCCTTTTTATCTTTGAGTATATCACAATGGATATCCTCAGTCTCATGCTCAAGTCCATACTTAGTTTTAAGATGCTTCGGCTTAATTTGGGGTGCATCTATGTCATCTTTCACACATGTCTGTTCCAAACTGATGGAGTCCATTAGAGCAACAACCTCCTGTAGTCTGTCTTCAGCTTGACAAAGAATAGCATACTGTACCTTAAGTGAAAAAGTGCAAGAAGATCATAATGACAGCGAATCTGCGCAGTTTGACAATATTATTGCCCTCTACAAATAGGCTATCGGAGAGAATAAAATAGGGTAAAACACTCACAACATTTTTTCATATAGAATTAGATAGTTGATAAAGAAAAGTAAACAAAAGGCAATGTCTTTGTCAGGGATCATGCTTGTTCTCTGATTTGTACAGAGAACTGATATCCATATTCATTTAAATCCATGAAGTCCTCAACTTACAACAGTTCATTTAGTGACCATTCAAAGTTACAACAGCACTGAAAAAAGTGACTTATGACTGTTTTTGACATTTATGATCATTTCAGCGTTCCCGCGGCCACATGATCAAAATTTGGACACTTGGCAACTGGCATGTATTTATGTCGGTTTCTGTGTCCCGGGGTCATGTGATCACCTTTTGCAACCTTCTGACCAGCAAAGTCAATGGGGAAGCCAGACTCACTTAACAACTGTATTACTAACTTAACAACTGCAGTGATTCACTTAACAGCTCTGACAAGGAAGGTTGTCAAATGGGGCAAAACTCAAATATCTGTCTCGCTTAGCAACATAGATTTGGGCCTCAACTGTGGTCGTACGTCGAGGACTATCTGTAAATGAAAAAGCACCATGCTCCCAAGGGCATGCACATTCAGATCTCCCTTCTTCAATGACGTGAATGAGAGCTCGCTTGAGCTTTGGTGCTGCTCATCAGAGACTGATAAAACAAGAGGCGGTGCTGAGACCAAATTGCTTTAAAAAGAATGTGAATTATTTTTACTTGCACTTGATTCCCAGCTGACTTATCTGACTGCTAGTTGTGTAAGATGACTCAGTTGTATAAGAAAGCAGCCATGGGGCAAATTGCAAGAGTTCTTTTTACCCTTGTTCAGTTTAATTGTTCATGCTGCAATCTTGAAAGCAATCTCATTTGGCATTGATAAAAACTCTGCACCAATAATCAGCTATGAATAAAAAGATGCTGCTCATAAAACTCTTAATTTTCAGTATTTTTCTTTCTTGTTTTTATCAATCATTTTTGTTCTGGGATGGAAACACTGTTGCCCAAATTTTCTTAATGAATTTAGCTTCTCATTAAGGACTTTAGCAAGGGAGAGTGAGATACCCTCACTTCATTGTGTTTGCTGTCTTTTGTCTTTTATGTTTTATGGGTTTTATTGTAATTTCCTTGATTATTTGTGAGCCATTCAGCGTCTCGATATTCAGAGGCGTACAAGTTTAATATATTATAGCAATAGCACTTACAGTTATATACCGCTTCACAGTGCTTTATAGCCCTCTCTAGGTAGTTTATAGAGTCAACATATTGTCCCCAGCAATTTGGGTCCTCATTTTACCCACCTTGGAAGGATGGAAGGCTGAGTCAACCTTGAGGCTGGTGGGATTTGAACTGCCAAATTGCAGGCAGCCAACAGTCAGCAGAAGTAGCCTGCAGTACTGCACTCTAACCACTGCACCACCACAGCTCATTATCCTTATTATTACATTGTTACTCTTTCTAGTTCACTGATTTTCAAATTCACTGGAAACAAAATTCCTCCTGACCTGGTTTTGCTCTGCACCCATAGGCTCCCACAATTCCTCTAGGGAAGTTATCAAAAGTGTTTTCAACTCTTCACATTGCTGGTGTCCCTCAACAGAGCCTTCCAAGAGCTTAGTTGTATTCTGTGATTTAAGGAAAAACTCAAAATCAAAACCAACATGCATAGATAGTTGTCCAATATAATAAAGTATTTTCTGCAGACTATTAGACTTCTCTAAAAATATAGCATAGTACCTCCCTGAACCCATATACAAATAAACAAACATTTTATTTATTAAACAACTTTATATAGCCACCCAGAATCACTGTGTTAGAGTTAGGGAGCTATATAAAGGTAATAATTAAACTTTTACAAATAAATAAATACATTAAAATAAATATACCCTACTGGTCATTAAAGTGGCATGGTCTAGATCCAATTTCATCTTATCCTACCTGTTTGTTTGAATCAAATCTAATCCCATGTCTAATGAACATTTATATTGCAAGATATACACTAATAGAGTTTCATTCTGGATCTTCCAAACCAATAATCTGCCAAGATGCCAACCTGTAATCGGCAAAGAAGACATTTGTAGAGATGCTGTAAAGCCATCAAGGATTCAGCACTGAAGCTATTAGTGCATATCTCCAAAGAATTGCGCTGCTTCGTTAGTTCATTTAAGAGAAGTGTTAGGCCTTCAATTTCTTTTAGAAGTGCAGAATAATTATTTAGCTGACTTTGCACTTGCTGTGAATTGGGAAGAATATCAACATTTAATCCTTGCTTCTGCTTCTCTACTTCATAAAACAATGCATTGATGGCATCTTCTGTCTGCTTCACGTGTTCCATTTGATGCTGGAGTTGTTCCTGGTCCCTATCATGGAAAAATAAATAAATATCAATTTAATAACTGACCGCTGAATATATAGGGCAGTGGTGTCAAACTTAAGGCCTGGGGGCTAGATCCGGCCCATGGAGTGCTTAGATCTGTTCTGCAGGGTCACCCTGGAAACACCAAAGGACCGGCTTGTGGTGCCCCTGCCAGTGAAAATGTTTCCACTGGCAGAGAGTTGCAGGAGGCTGTTGCAGCCAAAAACAGAGCTCAGAAGCCCGTTTTCACTGGCAGAGCACTCGGGCCACCGCAGGCGTCCCCAAAACAAGTGATGTCAAACTGGCCATGCCCACTTTGGCCATACCCACCCCAGCCCCCCAAGGTCAAATGCAACCCTGATGCGACCCTCAGTGAAATCTAGTTTGACACCCCTAATAAAGAACAGAGTGACAAACTTGTTGTAATGTTAAAAAGCAAAAAGTTCATGTTTTTCATAAGAATAGGGTAGAATGCTAAATTAGTTAACAGATGTAACATACTTGCAACCTACAAAATACTGTATATATAATAATAAACTTCTGGGGATCCTGTCTTCTTTACCAAATCTTTTCGTAATTAATGTTTTCTTTTTAAAATTAATCTAATTTTTACAAATTTTAATGGTCATTATTTGCCTTGAGTAACCCATATGCAGTAAAGGAATGGGCTATATTTTAATATAAATAAAGAAAATTGTATTTATAAATTTTTTCTATACTGATTAGTCAAAAGCTTGCAGGAAAAATCTTCAGTTTTCCACTAGTTTCAGCAATATTACCCGAGTGGAGAGTTTCTGGCGGAATTTTACACTGGATGATATTATTTTAGAATGACTCTTCTGCATTTTCAACTCAGTGGACATTTTCATGGTGTAATCTAAGCTACTTACCTCAGACAGCCAATAACCAAATGAATAGTGGAGTCCCACTTCTTGTGGACATCAGAAACTATCTGCTCAATAGCTAGGTTCTTGCTCTTATCGTCACACTTCAAATGTTCTCCAACAGTTATGATAGTTTGCAATTTAGCATTGCCTTCCACTTTCAACAAAGCAATCTCCTGTATTGTAAGAAATAACATGAAGATAATTGTTTTTACTGTTTTGACCTAGCACCCAGGCTAGTTTTGACATAGTAAAATTATCAAGAGAAACAACCCTTTTTAAAAAAATAATTGTCATTCCAATTAAATCTCACACAATGAAAATTAATAAACTGCTTCAAGTTCTTTTGTTAATTCCCTAAATATTGGAAGACATTGCCAATATTGGAGAGAGTGGGAATGGAAGAAATAGAAGATAAGTAGGATATGTTCGCTGCCTTGAATTATTTGTAAAAATAATAAAGGCATGATACAAATAAATAAGTCAAATAAATAAAACAATTAAATGCTTTTTTAAGCTTATAAAGTGCTTTTGTCAGGTATTAATTATTAGGAACAAGGGTTGAATTCAAAGTACTGTTTATTACATGCTACCTATAAACAAGAATCTGATTTACTAACACTCAAGACAATTGGTGCCAGATAAGCCAGAATTCACAGGGGTTGGACTTAAGTCTTTTGGGAGAACATAATGACTTCATATTGATGACATGTTTAAAGCTGTGCTTGGCCTGTTCATCTTCTACAGCTTTGATATTGAACTATCAAATACTATTTTGCTATTTTATTAATTTAATTTGTGCTGGTAAAAGTTAAGGGTTCTGAAACATGGATTGATTATAATGAAAAACTGACAGAACAGCTTGTCTTGGCAACAATGTTAATTAGTGGTCTTTCCCATATTTATAGGGACGTGGTGGCGCAGTGGCTAAGATGCTGAGCTTGTCAATCAGAAAAGTCGGCAGTTCAAATCCCCAGCACCACATAATGGAGAGAGCTCCTGTTACTTGTCCCAGCTTCTGCCAATCTAGCAGTTAGAAAGCATGTAAAAATGCAAGTAGAAAAATAGAAACCACTTTGGTAGGAAGGCAACAGTGTTCTGTGTACCTTCGGTGTTTAGTCATGCCAGCCACATGATCACGGAGATCTCTTTGGACAGTGCTGGCTCTTCGGCTTTGTAATGGAGATGAACACTGGCCCCTAGAGCCGGAAATGACTAGCACGCATGTGTGAGGGGAACCTTTACCTTCACCCTTTATTTTGATCCTCTGAGCTTGGAGTGGTTCCATCTTTAGTCCAGAATGTAATTGTATTTCCCCTTTTGGGACTGGCATGCAGGAGCTAGTGGCAACTATGCTCAAGACTGCCTTTGCACAAATTTATCTGATGCACCACATATGCTCACATAACACTCTACTTTGTGGCTGTACTAGTTGTCAGTATGCTTCAGGGTGCAATTCAAGGTTGTGGTTATCACCTATTAGGATACAGACTTTGATTATTTGAGGGCTATTTATTCACGGGTTTGGCCTGGCCTATATATTCTATCATGCCTAGCATGCTGTGGGTTCCATCAATTAAACAATATCAATTGTTGGGATGCAGGAAATAGACTTCTCTATCTTACTGCAGTCTGCTAGAACACCATTCAATCTGAAATTCATATGCTCACCTTCACCTGGCCTTTTTTAAGCAGACTTTTACAACCTGGCTCTATCCCAGGCCTCAGTTAGAATAAGTGGTTGATCTCTTCTGGAATATTTTAATTGATTAACTGACTTCTGCTTTCTCCAGACTTTCTTTGTGGCTTATGAATTCAATTTTTATTGGTTTTTTTTATTACAAATAAATAAATAGTAACTGCAAACAGAGCATGGAACAGTTAAAACTAAAATTCAAGAAAAATGTCAAGCACGTTTAAAAATGTTTTTAAAATGAGAAAAGACTAAAGAAAGAATTATTGAATGGTTCTTTTATTAATAAAACGTAGAGCTTCAAGTATGTTTTGATACCTGGATTTTGAACAACCTTTCTTCCAGTGGTATCTCAGATTCTTCAGCACTCATCTCCAAGACAGGTTTTTTTAGAATTTCCATCCAGCAAAAAATGTTCCTGACAAGTTCTTCAAAATGCTTTCTTTCTACACAATACATCTCAGAAACTCCAAGGGTTTTCTGTACATGATTAACCAACCTCTTGTATTTACTGACAAACTGGGCAGATTCTAGAACTGCTTCATCATTGAAAAATCCTGAGTTTTTCAAATAATTTGCCCGGCAATCAAAAGAATCAAACCACTCCCTGTAAAAGAATAGCGACTGTGTGAAATTTAATTGTCATCTTTATTCCCCATGCTTTACCCATGTCATTATTTATTAAATAATATCAGAACTGGACAAATTGAGTCAATGATCAACCTTCATATAAGGCAACATCATATCAACTTTTTTTCCAATTGACCAAGACAGGATGATTCAACATTTAAAATCACATTCTTTGCATTCTTCTGTTTCATCACTGCATTCAATAGTCATTCTTTAAATAGGCAGCGACTGACAACTTGAACTCAAAATCATTATATTTACTCTATTGCTTATGTGGAAAAATATACATAAATTTGTGTTCAATTGTGAATACCAAATCTTTGAAAATATGTTTTAGACAGGAACATTTTCAGTAGAACACATGAGTATTCCACTGAAACTAGCTCTCAAGTGAGGAGCAAAGTTAAATGAGTTGCTATAGCTAAGACAAAATACCTTTGTTTGAGTAGAATTTGATAAAAATGTTCAAGTCCTGTCTTTTCTTTTTGAACTTGTTTCCATTTTTCTTCCTGCGTCCTTAGCCACTTCTGCAGACTCTTAAAGTCCTTTTCAAGCCTTCAAAGAAATAAAATAAATACTTACAAGAAAATCCTGTTAAGCTGTAAAAAAAACTAACCATGAACAGCGGCACTTAATGCTATACAGGAAATTAAGTTTGAGTCTAGTTCAGCAAGCTTACCTATTAATACTTATTTACTTATTTAGTACTGTAGGAAGAGGAATACATCAATCTCAAAACATATTTTGGGAGGATTAGATTTAAAATCCATCTAATCACTCTGGATCACAATATAGATGAGGCAAGCTAAATTCATTTTGGCTTCTTACCTAGCAAACTGTTGAAGAAAGTAGTGAAGCTCCATTTTTCGTGCCTGACATTTGGAAATTATTCTTTGCAATTCCACTTCTTGGTCCCTCACCCAGTTATTCAACTGATGGACATTTGGTTTGGGCAAATAGTTTTTTACCTGGTTCACAATAGTCTTCACCTCATCAATATCACTGCCTTTGTCTTCAAAATTTAGGAAACTCTAAAAAAAAACCCATAAAAGAGATTTATCCAAGATCAGCAATATCTTTTCATTGCTGCTGATGTTTGATATGTTTTATAGTTTTATCTATCTATCCATCCATCCATCCATCCATCCATCCATCCATCTATCTATCCATAACTCACTCCTTGATTATTGCAATGTGGCAATTTCTGAATAGATTATAACCAATTGATCAGCACCTACACAACTGATTTTTCATTCAACATTGATGCATGATTTTTCAATAGAACTAAGTACTCATTCACATTCCTCTTGGCATAGCGAAGAAAAACCATTAACATGTAATGGTGAGTAATCAATTAATCAAAGGCTTCTATCACAAAACATCCATCCATAGACGATGCTTTCATGTGGCTGTGCATGTTCTTGCCTCCTTCCAATAGGTAACACTGCCCTGGATACATATATATTGGAAATGATTGGATTATTCTATGTTTCTCATAAAAAAGAATCCTTCATAGAAGAAATTTATTCCTCTGTTTCATGACTTACTATTCCAATCTTGATACACTTCAAGACTGAAATGAATACTTCCTTTTTTCACTGAAGATAGAAAGGGGAGAAGCAAAATTACAACCTCTAGTACAGATAGCCCTTACAACAGTTTTTTAGTGACCATTCAAAGTTACAATGGAAGTGAAAAGTGACTTATGACCATTTTTCACACTTATGACAATTGCAGCATACCATAATCTCCTGATTATGAATTCAGGCATTTGGCAACTTACTCATATTTATGACAGTTGCAGTGTCCTGGGTTCATGTGATCAGCTTTTGTAACCTTCTGATAAGCAAAGTCAATGGGGATTCACTTAACAACCATGCTACTAAGTTAACAACTGCAGTGGTTCACTTAACAACTGTGACAAAAAAGGTTGCAAAATAAGGCAAACCCACTTAACAAATGTTTCACTTAGCAATAGAAATATTGGGTTCTGTTGTGGTTGTAAGTCGAGGACTACCTGTACATAGGTTCTATTCTTGTTAGAATCACTGTTCAATAAACTTGTGGCTGGTTTGCTATGCTAATATTTATTGTCACCCATCTGAATCAAATATAACACAGTAGAAAAGACAATAAAAGATAATAAGTAAAAATAATCAACTCCTCAAATAGCACAAGGCAAAAACCACAAACTAGGCTCAACTAACATCCTGAACCTAAAACCCAAGAGAAGAGCTAGGTTTTAAGGCTCCTAAAAGGCCAACAAAACTGACTCATTATTAAGTCAATTAATTAAATTTACATAAAATTAGTCAATGAAATTAGGTAATTAAAATATATGATTTGGGCCAGGGAGACTCAGTTCTAAAATCCCACTTATCCATAACATCCAACTCATGAACTACCTCACAGTCATAGTTACCTTTCAATAGATAAAATTTTAAAGATAAAAAGTCTATGTATTATTTGTCAGACAACTTTGGAGGAATGACAGATTAAAAATATAGCAAAAGGAAAAATAAAATTAGAAAAATGCATAACATGCACTGATTTAAACCCCACTTCTTTCTCTCAGATGGAAGTTGTACATTCTAGGAATGTATTTGCCCTCCACAGATTGCATCAAAAATTAAACTAGGTTATGTATCAGTCTATTAAAGTGTCAATGGTCTATTACAGAAGTAAGTTATGGTAAAATGTTTCTAGAACCATAGCCTTACCAGGATCATCAGATAGGGGCTGCAAAAATCTGGATAACTCAAGATAGTAGTGCAGAATTCAAATTTTCTAGATATTTTGATTGTCATTCATGGTTATTCAGAATTTGCAACCCAGATCGAGTAGCCAAGCCTTACATTGCTCTCCAAGGTGAATTTACTAAGAAGGAAATACTATGAAACTTCTCGTTTCTCCACACTACATTTACACATCACAACTTTAATCTATTTAACTAATTCTGCTCTTTCGTATTCTAAAAGAACACACAATACAGAATGAATTGAATTGGAATCCTTCAGTCTCAAGAGACTATGGTATAGTGCTATGAAACTGGCAACTGCCACTTCCCGTGTTGTTTCAATGCTGTATGCAAAGCTGGTGTGTCCTCTCCAGATCACAAGGCCTCGGTACTTTAATATGGAGGATAAACTGCTACCCAAGCAGCAGATTCCCCCCTCTCCATGTCACTGAAATAGTCTAATGCAGTGGCTCCCAACCTTTTTTGTGCCGCGGCCCGGTACCGGCATCACAAAATGATCCGCAGCCTGGCACCAGCATCAGCACGCATGACAAGGCAAGGTGAGCCGAGAGACCGGCCAGCCAGCCATCCCCCGCTTCTCCCCACCACCTTCAACTCCTCTTTTGTACCTTTGTTGATGGGCTTCGCTTTGGGACGGCTTCGGGATGGTCGCTCGGCTTGCCTTGCCTTGGGTGCTGAAAGAATCCTCGTGCCTTAGTTTCATTCGAAGCCCCCACCTTCGATGAAACTAAGGCACGAGGATTCCTTCAGGACCCAAATGCTGCTTTCCAACCAGAAAAGCTCACCCGGAAGCACTTTCTCATCAAACAAGATGGCGGCACCCAGCAAACCGGCGGCCCGTTAGGAAATGTTCCACGGACCGGTACCGGTCCGTGGCCCGGTGGTTGGGGACCCCTGGTCTAATGGAATGGCAGAGCCAATACAATTAGTTCCAGCTGCGTTGCAGGAGTTACCAGAATGTGATTGTACAGAGTCATGAACTGCTTTCAGGACTCGGGCTCAAAATTTTACCTCAAGGTTGACTCCTGAAGCCTTTTCCAATAATAGATATAACCACAAGGCAGTGGAGGTTTGAAATCAGAGTTTCCCTTCTCCTAGAAGATGAATCTACCATTTATCACATATAGAATATGTGAAACTAAAATGCACCCTCATTTTTAATGTGAGAAAAACAGGGCTAATTTATTTAAAATCTGAAGAATCATGAAGAAAAGTAGTCAACACAATTAGCAGTCTTATGCCTTACTATTAGTTGATGAATTTTCTTTTCTGCCATCTCTTTTGTTTCAGAGGAGTCAAAACATTCTTCCAGAGAGATTTGTACATTGCTGAACCAATCATCAAAACGCTTACACTGGTCTGTAGGAAGATGCAATTTAAAATATATATATATATAAAAAAAGATGAGTAGGATGAAGAGACAAAGGGCTTCATTATTTGAATCAAAGCAATTAGCTCTATCATTGTTGGGCTCCTCTTGGGCCTGGGATGAAAAGCCTTTACAAATTGAAGTACCAATCAGAAAAATTGAAAATCCTTCAATAAGAATTATTTTACACTGAAAAATAATTATAGGTATAGATATTTAAAGCAATTTGAAAAAGGAGGTTTTCCCTCCACACAATTACATCTTTAAAATTAAGTTACAAATCGATATTATTATATGCTTACTATAGTAACTATATTTTAACTATATAAAAATTTGAAGTAGTTACTTCATGAATGTTTCTAAACAGTTTAAATATCATATTCTGTTTCTTTCTGTGGCTCGAAAACACTTTTACATAAAGCAATTGTCAATTCAGACTATTTTCCCCAGTTAAAATTTGCTTTTAAAGAAAACAGAAACAGCTTAAAATTGGCAACTTAAGAAAAAATAATAACTTTTCACTCACAATTTAAGAGAGTTATAAAGTGATCCTGAAATATTTGTTTTTTTGAATTAAATAAGTCAGTGATACTTGTCAGCAGCTTCTTTAACTCAATAACATCAGGGTTCAGATAGCCTGTCTCTTTCTGAAGCAATTTCACATGTTGTTTTTGATGAAGAATCTTCTGATGAATTTCCTAAATAAGAAAGGGAATATCATTCACATGTTGTCAGAACACCTATCTGGAAATAATTTTCGTAAGCTAAGTCCTAGAAAGTCAAGGAAATCGGGAATATTAAGGATGACATTTGTTAGCATCTTTTAAAAGAACTTGCATCTTTTCCTGGGCTCATACAGAATCCAGGAAAATAGCATCCTGCCATAAATTATAAGGAAGGGGGAATGAACCAGTCAGCCATAAATTGCAAGGGAACCGGAATGAACCAGCCTCCAAGGATACCTGACCTGGGAACCGAATGTGAAACTGTAATGAGATGTGCCAAACATCCAAGCTGTTCCCAAAACATCCAAAAGGCATCCTATTGGTCACTGATGGATTGGTTAAGGGGGGAGGGCAAAGGAAAGGGGGGAAAGGGTAACCTTTCTGTGGGAATATTCAGATCTAGCTTTACTTTTGCTGCAACCACTTAACTTTAGTTTCAATCTCAATTTCAAATTCAATCATTTCAGTCAAATGAAATCAAGGGTCTTTGTTTCCAAAATGTCTAAGTTGGGGCAGATCTGACATATTTGATTTAAAACTATGACAAAAGATATGATCTTTTACCAACAAGGAACCTGCAAATATATAGTAACAATAAACCTTGGTTCACAGCTAAACTTAAGCAGCTACGTCGTTCCAAAGAGGAAGCCTACAGAAAAGGTGACAGAATGCTATACAACCAGGCCAGAAACATATTAACAAGAGAGATCAGAGCAGCAAAAAGAAGCTACTCAGAAAAGTTAAGGAATCATTTCTCAACAAATGAACCAGCAAAGATGCGGAAAACTCTTAAAAACATCATTGGCTTCAGCAAACCTCCTTCCCAGGCAGAAGGAAATCAACAACTAGCAGATGACCTGAATGTCATCTGCAGGTTTGAAAGGAAACTACAGCCACCTATCTCTACAACCTACACCTCAAACACACCAACAGCCAAGCCTCCTACAACTGGCCCCAACTCATTGGGTTCACAACCTCTGTTGATCACAAAAAAAGAAGTGCAAGATCTATTACACAGACAAAAGCCAGGAAAAGCACCAGGGCCAGACAAAATAACTCCTTCTTGCTTAAAAGTCTGTGCTGACCAATTGGCCCCCATCTTCACCCAAATCTTCAACAGATAACTAGAGATGTGCTATGTTCCTTCCTGCTTCAAACGCTCTACCATCATCCCAGTGCCAAAGAAGCAATGGTGGTATTCAGCTGGTTTGCAACGGATCAGGTGAACTGGTAGGAAGAATTTGGCGCGAGTCGCCAAACCGGTAGTAAGTTCTGACTGGCCACGCGCCCCCCATCTGGTTGCCCTCCTGCCTGATGCTCGATCACCCTGCCCACCTGCCTGACATTTGCCTAAGGTATGTATTTCTTTTTTTTCCCTCCCGATAATCAGCTGTGCATAGATCAGCTGTGCTGGGATTCCCCTTGCTGAGGCCCAGGAAGGCAAAAAATGGAGGGAGGAGCTCAGCCCTACCCCCTCCATTTTTTGCCTTCCAGAGCCCCAGAGGAGCCTTAGGGGAGCAAAAACGCCCCCCCCCGAGGCTCCTCTGTGGCTAAGCTCCCAAAAATGGGTGGGAGCTGCAAAAAAAGCCACACCCATCCAGTCACATGGCCACGCCCACTAAGCTACACCCACAGAACCGGTAGTAAAAGTTTTTGAACACCACCACTGCAAAGAAGCCCTCCATCAAGGAACTAAATGACTACAGACCAGTTGCTCTAATATCTGTAGTTATGAAAATCTTTGAAAGGCTTGTGCTGTCCCATCTGAAAACCATCACGGATCCGCTGCACTTTTCATACCATGCAGTTTGCATACCGAGCAAATAGATCGACAGATGATGCTGTTAACATGGTTCTGCTTTACATCCTATGACACCTTGAATCTCCAAATATCTACGCAAGGGTCCTCTTTGTAGACTTCAGTTCAGCATTCAATACCATCATTCCAGACACTCTTCTAAGTAAATTAAATCAACTAGTAGTACCTGAACACATTTGTAAGTGGATCATAAGCTTCCTAACAGACAGGAAGCAACAGGTGAAGCTAGGTGGAATCACATCCGTAATCAGTACAGGGGCCCCCCAAGGCTGTGTGCTTTCTCTACTTATCTTCTCCCTATATGCCAATGACTGCATCTCAAATGATCCATCTGTTGAAATACTGAAGTTTGCTGATGACACAACAGTGATTGGTCTCATTTGAAACAGTGAAGAATCCGCATACAGACAGGAGGTTATACAACTTGCCTCGTGGTGTAACCAGAACAATCTGGAACTGAATACACTCAAAAGTGTAGAAATGGTGGTAGACTTTAGAAGAAACCCTCCCATACTACCACCTCTTACAATACTAGACAACACAGTATCAACCGTAGAGACCTTCAAATTTCTAGGTTCTAGTATATCACATGACCTAAAATGGACACCTAACATCAAAAACGTCATCAAAAAAGTATAACAAAGAATGTTCTTTCTGCGCCAACTCAGAAAGCTCAAACTGCCCAAGGAGCTGCTGATTCAGTTCTACAGAGGAATCATTGAGTCTATCATCTGCACCTCTATAACTGTCTGGTTTGATTCTGCAACCCAACAGGACAGACACAGAGTTCAGAGGGTAATTAGGACTGCAGAAAAAACTATTACAACCCACCTGCCTTCAATCGAGGACCTGTATACTGCACAAGCCAAAAAGAAGGCTGTGAAAATATTTACAGAACCCTCACATCTCGGACATAAACCATTTCAACTCCTTCCCTCAAAACAATGCTATAGAGCATTGCACACCAGAACAACTAGACACAAGGACAGTTTTTCCCCGAAAGCCATCACTCTGCCAAACAAATAATTCCCTCAACCCTGTTCAACTATTACAAAGTCTGCACTACTATTACTGTTAATCTTGTCATCACTCCTTACCACCCATCCCTTCCCACTTGTGACTATATGACTGTAACTGTCGCTTGTATAGTTACGATTTATATTGACTGTTTCCTAGTATGATTTGATTGCTTATTGCACCCTATGACTATCATTAAGTGTCGTACCTTATGATTCTCGACTCTTGATGAATGTATCTTTTCTTTTATGTATACTGAGAGTATTTACACCAGGACAAATTCCTTGTGTGTCCAGTCACACTTGGCCAATAAAGTATTGTTTCTATCTATCTATCTATCTATCTATCTATCTATCTATCTATCTATCTATCTATCTATCTATCTATCTATTCCCACAGGCTCTGCATCACTCATTTCCCTACTGAATTTAAAACTCTGCATAGTCATTAATAATAGCAATCATATAAATATACAATTACCAATGTCCAAATGTAATAATTTGGCAATGCTGACAGAAGTAAATGTGATTGGATTTTGTTTTTAATAAGTTTTTGAAATTTGTACCTCAGGTTATATTATGTTATGTTCACATATATTTCAAACAAAAACTTGCTGAATAAGTTACAATAACCCAACTATGATATAACACTATTCAAAAATCACATCAGGGCTTAATATTTATGTGTGAATCTTGTCCAAGTATAACTAGATTGTGCTAAACCTATGTACACTGGGGGTTTTTTACTTATATGTCCATCCATTATGGTTTAATATTTTGGACAAACTCTCTGAATCCTGGTTCATATTAATCATGGTTGAGACTGACATTGACATAATTTTTAACTTCTGTAAAAGGCAGCAGGAGAATGGAATATGGGAAATTCACATGGAAGAGAGTGATGGAGCTCCTAATTTTCTGATCCCGCTCAAAGTCCTGTGATATCTGAACCAACCATTGAAATTCCATCATTATGTCACTGTAAGAGCAGTTTGAAGTATTATCTTCAGGTGGAATATCACCCACATTGTCAAACAAACTAAAGATGCTTCTTTATGCTGTTGTATATGTCTGAAGTACCTCCAATTTTGTAAAAATCTCCAAGGTATCAGAGGGAGATAAAGCTTCCAGAAGCGATTCTGTCATTCCGATTTGAGACTTGGCAAGATCAAGGTCTCCTTTCAGCTCTGTTGTACTGCCCTTGAGTTCTGTAGGTTCTGACTTATTTGGTAAATACTTTCTTATTAGCTCCATTTTGTTCAAAAGAGAAGATTTAATAACCTGAAAAGGAGAAAACCAGATGCCAATTTAGTTTAGTTTAGTTTATTGTCATTGCACCTCATACAACGAAATCCATCATCTTCAGTGCACATCATGACTGTGAAAATAAACACAAACACACATCCTTCACACTCCACACATTAAATTGAAAACCCCCAACACCGTACCAGCACTGCACTATACAGTGGAATTCAACAGAGCTACTTTCTTGGGATAGAAGTTCTCATTGACTATTTTAGTACAAATTTGGGAGAAATATTGCTATACATATCTGCCTTTAAATTACAATTTCCTTCTTTTTTGCAGGAATTGATAAATACATCTCAGATTTTAGGTATACCCAAAATTTATTTAAAAGGTTGAAACTAGTTGTTACTGAAAAAGGCATTCCATGTTCATAGCTAGTAACAATGTCTACATGATAACATTACAGTGTAAATTTCCTTCACTCCAACACAAAATGTTATCATTTAGTGAGTTTTGTTTCAGAAAATTAAATCAAGAAAACCAGTTGTAATTAACAAATGAAGGCAAATACATGTGTCCCAGGATAATATTGCAGGATCCAATCTGGGTCGGTCACCGGGACCAGACCCAAGCTTTTGGACTAATGCTGGAACCTGTCTTCAGAGAACTGTGTTGTAATTAAGTTTGTTTTCATAATAATATGTTTGGAAACATGTTGTCTCATAACCTAGCATTCAAATGAGATGTTGACCAACTACATCACAACTAATTAGGGACAACACTCACTGTCAGAAGCAACAATATATGTGCTTCAGGGCAGAATATTTCTTCCTTCAGAAAAATAATTTCTACTATGCACTACCACTCTTATTCAAATAATTTCCCTGTAACTTCGGTAGAATATTTCTATCATTTTCTTGAGAACATCACTGAAAATATTTCCCTTCTTTCATGGCCTGCAAAGGATGTTGTAAAAGTTGTGCAAATGTTTTGTTGCAGTCCTCACTCCCCAGAATGTTAAATTTAGGTGCTAAGTATCTTTATTAGTGTTATACTCTTTCCTGACATGCAACACAGAGAGGATGATGAGAAGTTTCCCCTTCTACACAGATACTCAAATATTTATGAGGAATGCACTTTCCAAACACACACATGTACATACTGATGCACAAACACACTTATAGGTTTTCATGATTGTATTTGCCAGGCACTTCTGGCAAGGCAAGTTTCCAGAAATTTCCATTTCTTAAGAGTGGACACAGATTTAACATATGTCCCAATCCTTTTAATCTCAACTGAGATGACTAAGAGGAAAAAAAATAGCTGAATTAGAGCTATTGCATCTCACTGTTAAAACTCCAGAAAACCATTAGATGGGACCAACTCAATCTTTGTCCCTTGAAGTTAAACAGCAAGGAATGGGGTCTTCTTCCTATAGTCATCTAGAGAGAACTAGACCTTCTTATGAGTGAAAGGGAAAAAAAGAACCTTCTTCATAGGACTCAAGGAGAAACATAATACATCATGACCTCTAGATGTAATGAACAATCAGATAGCACCCGTTTGTATCTTAGTGGTTGTAATCTGGTAACATAGCTCAGAAACTGGCACCAAAGATTCTGTTACTTCCAAAATATCACAGCACTTTGAGTCAATATCAGATAGTCAGCTTGAAGAGAAGTAACAGAATAGAAGACATTTGCCTTCCTTCATCTTCTCCTATATACTTGGTCAAGGAGAGGAAACTAAGAGATGTGATATTGAATATTAGCTGAAGTAGTAATTACCCTGCACTGTCCAATTAAAGCAGTAGGTCAGACCTGATGGCAAAAGAGACCTTTACAATTGTGTTTTATTTTCATTATTGCAAGGCAATATGAAGGCATAGAAAATCTTTTTTGGACAACAAAGATAGGCAGGCCTATTATATCAACCACAATCATAATTCTTGTTATTCCTCCTCTTTCACCTGTAGTTCAAGTGGGGGTTCACTGCTGTTAAGAAGATCCTGAATTTCATCCACCTGTGTATCAAATTTCTCTAACTCTTTTTCTTGGAACAGGACATCAGCCTGAGAAGATACAGAAAACAGATTATGTACAAACTATCCAATAGTAAATTTTATTTTACCAGTTAGCATTGAGTAGAAGTCATAATCCGCTGCCCTTGAAGATCGCTAGGAAGCAGCAACTGGGCCAAAATGCAATGGCATAAGCAGTTATGAACAAATTCAGAATACCCATGTAACCCCTCTGCTGTTAAGCTAGACTGATTACCAGTGATGATTACCTCCTCTAAAGCTAATGTAGGTAATACTGAACTATATAAGGGAGTGATTTGACTGAAAATAAAAGAGCTTTCTCATGATAGACACATTATTTGCAATGGATTCCTAATCCTTTCTAGAACAGGCTGCATCGTAACATAAGAATGGTAAGGGTTTTGAAGATCTCATATTAAGTTTTGTTCAAAATCTACTATCATTTTGATTAAAATTCCCTTTTCATGATAAAAATAGCTTTTTAAATGTATCTTTTTCATATCTGCATCTCATAAAGGTATTTTATGAATGAATCTGTCATTGCATTCAAGCAGAGGAGAAGAAAGCCAGTATATTATGTGGGATGTATATAAAAGAAGCATCCCAAAGGCAGTGTTTGTGGTGATCAATAAGTAAATGAAAAAATGGCAGAAATGCTGGCACAATGGAAGAAAGAACAAGGAGGAAGAAAAAAAGAACAGAATTTTATATCTTGAATCAGAGCTTGACAGCATTGTCCCATTCTTCATCTAGTTTAGAAAAAGTTGCCTGCAATTACAGAATAACAAATAATCCCTATCAACCATACCTCCAATTCTTCCAATTTCTTTTCAGTCACATTCCCATCTTCTAAGTTCTTCTGCACTGCATCTGACCATTCGTCAATCAAACTGGATAAGTCAAGAAGCTTGTCCCATAAAGCCAGAGCTCTTTCCAGGTTTTCACAATAGCTTTCAGTCCGCTCATTGATCTGGAAGAGGGGATTATGTTTTCCACCCAAAAAGAAAGAAACAGAACATAAAGCTTTCTAATCAAGTAAGAACATGAAGAGAGGCAAGGTAAAATGAAGCCAGACACAGAAACAAATAAGGGGAGGGAAGTAATCCAACGTTCCCATGGGATACAGCCAATTTCTTGCTAAATATGGCTTTAAATATTATCATATCAAAGATCACAATAGCTCTCCAGACTCTAGAAACAGGTTTGGCAAGGTGGCTTGGTTTAATTAGATGGAATCTTCTCCCAATAATGTGTCCTAACTGGTTTTAGTTAGGAACTGCCTGGGCATATTCATTCAGCAGTCAATATTCTTCTCTAGCTTTTTAAAGCATTGAAGTAAGACATTCTTAATATCTTCACTCATGGAAAAACTCCTGGGAGCGCTAAGCAATATAAACAGCACAACATAATATTACTTGTTTGTTTACATCTTTGAGAATTATCTTCAAGAAGAATTTCCTTGTGGTACCCAATAAAAATATGCATTTCTTAGAGTCCCATTTTGTATTAAACATGCTCCAATTATAACTCAAATTTCCCTCCTTTTGGGTTCTTCATCATGCTACATTTAATTTAATTGACTTTGAATAATATTTGGAAGTCAAAATTAATAATTACAATGAATGATAATTTGGAAAATCCTTATAGTTAGTTTATATAACATACATCCAGCCATCGGTCCACAATAGCATTAGCCTCATTCTCAAATGGGGGCTCCTCAAAACTCTTCATTTTGTTCACTTGAGACTGAAGATTTTTGCACATTTGGTTTAATCTATCAACATCTTCAGAGTAACTGTTAAATTCCTCCTTTGCCATGTTAACCTATGAAAAGAAGAGAAAATCCATTTAAGAACAAATCTGTTGCATTTGTGGGAAATTCTAAAGAGTAAGAAACTTATCAAAATGGAAAAGGAGAGAGAACGCATTGCCTTTGATTTTCAATATTTATATTCGTTTCAGCATAAAACAAGAATGAGGAAAAAAAGTCATGGAGCCGTGCTTTATTATGAATTTTCCAAGTTTTAAAAAAATCAATTATTTTTTAACAAGAATTAAGTCTATTCAAATATTCTAAATCTTCTGAAATATTCTGCTTTGTTTTTATGCAAATGCACTCATTAACTTGCACAATAGCAATATCTCAGGTTAATTTGTTTATTCATCTTCTTTTCAAATATATGGACTTGCAATTCTCCTCTCACACTTCTTCTTCTTCTTTTTCTTCAGCGTTTGTCTCGCGCTCGGGCGAGGTCCGCTAAATTCTCCTCTCACACATTTTCCATATACTGTTCATATAATATTGAATTATACTGTCAAAACTATGTTGAGAACAGGATTATTGATGGCAAATCAAACCTCAAATATTTTGTTCTACATAATAGGGATCCCCAACCCCAGGTCCATGACTGGCACCAGTCAGCGGTATGCCAATAACTGGGCTTTGCAAACAAGTGAAACTCCATCCATGGGATGAAGGCAGCACATGAAACCACACTTCCTCCAGTCCACAGAAAAAAAACTCTCACCGCAGAACCGATACCTGGTGCCCAAAAGTTTGGGGACTTTTGCTATATAAAATAGTAAACACTGTTTTTCAGGTAATGCAATATTTCCTTTGATAACTACAGTTGTTTCCCAAAATAAATCACCCATTTTAATTTATAGAATTGTGTCACCAAATCTGTGTCTCTGAAACTTGCAAAATGTCATTTTTATTTTCCACTTTGGGCTTTTGAAGTGGCTCTTTTATGCCCCCAAAATACATAAACACAAGCAGTGGAGCATTGACCTTTACTACTTGGCAATTATAAAGCTTTTGTTAATGACAGCTTTGTTCCCTGTCAGACAATACTGTTTTTAGTACATTCAGCTAGACAATGAGAAAAAAGGACAAAGGTTTTGAAGCAACAGATGATAGACAACTGGTCCTCTTATTCTCCTAACAGAAAAAAATAAGCATGAAACTCTGCATACTTTTTTTGGGGGGGGGGGGAGAATTCTGACCAATTTCTTTCCTTAGAAATGTCAGTGCAGAATTGAGCCAGGAATGACATGGAATGACATGGCAGACCTGTGTGCCAATACCCTTTTAAAAAAGGCTAAAAAAAAAAGCTAAGGACCCTCTCTTTGCACCTGTGAAATATTGCACTTGATGTGTGAGAGAATGCTCATGGCATTGTTGAATCCAAATAAAACAACCTTGGCAGAAAGGAAAGATATATCACACATAAGTATTTGGATTCTGACTCTTATTATTAATTACATTATGCATAAGTTGGGGAGAATCCTAAAAGACCAGGAATGATAAATCTTTAGGCCTTTATTTAAGTAATAGACACAGAAAGAGATGTCAAGATTCTTCTGAAATGGAATGACCCATTCCAAGTCCTCTTTCAGGTGAAGTTAAATTTTCAAGGAAGGTAATGTAACAAAAATGTATTATTGAATTCTGAATCATCTCTTTTCTTTATATTGGGGTGTCAAACTCATGTCGTCACAGCAGCATCACATGACGTATCAGGACTTTTTTCCCCTTTACTAAACCAGGCATGGGTGTGGCCAGCATGTGACGCATCTGGCCCATGGGCCGGGAGATTGACAGCCCTGCTTTATATATTTCGTTAAAGTTGACATTGTTGCCTATTGATAAACTTTGCTTCCCATTCAAGCGTGGAAATATTGACATACTCAAATATCCTAGACAAGTAGTCCTCACCTTACAACAGTTCATTTAGTGACTGTTTGAAGTTACAATGGCACTGAAAAAAGTGACTTATGACCATTACAGCATCCCCAGGAATCATGTGAACTTTTGCGATCTTCTGACATGCAAAGTCAATGGGAAAGCCAGATTCATTTAACAACTGTGTTACTAACTTAATAACTGTGGTGATCCACTGAACAAGCAAAGTCATAAAATAAGGCAAAATTCACTGAACAAAGTCTCACTTAGCAAAGGAAATTTTGGCTCAGTTGAGGTAATAAGTCAAGGGCTACTTCTATTAACATCTTGTTTCAGAGGTATATTTCATGATTTATGGAAAGTTGGGTATCTGTGAGCAATTCTTCTATTCTACAGTAAGCACTTTCCATGAAACTTATCTGTATCTTAATCAACAGGGAACTTTGCCTATAGACATGGTAACAGCTAAAAAATTTCAACACTTGCAGGATGAGGCCTGGAAGAAGTCCCAAAATTGTTGGCTTGGGAGTTTTGTCTCCTATCTCCCCATGAAGTGTTGATGGCAACACTGTACACAGGTGGAGTTTCTCCAATGAATCACTGCTAAGAAGACGGTGTTCCGTAGCAGAGAAGATTTGTTTTCCGATTGCATCTGCAGCAGATGCAATTGGCACTTAATAGGTATTAGCCAAAGGGCACCAAACAATGCATCTCTGGACTGTAATCTGCATGGATTCATAATTCCCATTTCATTAGAACATGCTATACACACTCCTAGAGTAGGATTATTAGGATTTTATCATTATTCAATATGAATCTGTAAGTTACTAGCTGCACTGGATAGGCAGCAACAGACCAAAAAGTAAGACACAGTTTCAGCCTATCAAACATAATGTTCTTGAGCCAGACACTGGCAGCTCAAATTGAGGATAACACTCTGAACTGAGGGCATTATAGGGTTTCATGACTAGGGATTAGACCTTTGTGTCAATTGATGATATACAGTGGGTGGGATTCAATTTTTTTTACTACCAGTTCTGTGGGCATGGCTTGGTGGATGTGGCAGGGGAAGGATACTGTAAAACCTCCAGTCAGAGGTGGTATTTGCCGGTTCTCCAAACAACTCAAAATTTCCACTACCAGTTGTCCAGAACTGGTCAGAACCTGCTGAATACCACCTCTGATGATATACCTAAGCAGTATATAACTGATGATGCACTTAAAACATTACAGCGGTGTTTTAATGCAGTATCAGCATTGAGTCGAATTGATCGATCTGATCTTCTGCAATAGTTTGAATTCAATTTATGGAATACAAATTAAAAAAACCTTTTCCAATAGTGAGCACAGCATTATTAATTTTTATCTCAACATACATCCACACAAAAATCAACACAACAATGTGATCCCCAATTATAACTTTAAAAAAGGCAACTATGATCTCTAAAAAGGCAACTATGATGGCCTACTTCTTAAAAAAGCTATCCATTGCCATAGCTGAACCTCTAAGCATAATCTTTGAAAAAACTTTCAGGACCAGCTCCTTGCCAAAACTATGCTCACAAGCCACGGTCATGCCCATCTTCAAAAATTCTTCAAAAAGGGAGACCCCAGCCTAGTTGAAAATTACAGACCAATCTCTTTATGCTGCGTCACCTGTAAAGTCATGGAATCAATTATTAACCAATCCATCATCCTCCACTTACAAACAAACTACCTACTCTCTAATAAACAATTTGGTTTCAGGAAAAAACTATCATGTAATCTGTAACTCTTACACTGCAAAAACATATGGACTACACAACTCGATCAGGGCAAAGCAATAGACACAATCTACATAGACTTCTGTAAAGCCTTTGATTCAGTGGTACATAACAAACTACTCCTGAAACTAAAATCTTACGGTATCTCAGGACACCTGCATAACTGGATAGAAGCATTCCTGTCAAACAGACAACAAATGATCAAAATTGGGAGCGTCCTATCAAATTCTTTACCTATCAACAGTGGTGTCCCCCAAGGAAGTGTTCTAGGACCAACTCTTTTCATACTGTACATAAATGACCTCTGTGATCATATCAAGAGCAACCGCGTTCTTTTCGCTGATGATGTAAAGCTGTTCAATACCACAGACAATACTGCTACCCTTCAAAAAGACCTTGACTATATATCAGAATGGTCAAACAAATGGCAACTTCAAATCTCAACAAATAAATCCTCTGTCCTACATATTGGCAAAAAATAATAATAATCAGAAAATAAAATATAGGCTGAATAGTCAAGACCTTGTTGATGATCCAAACTCTGTCAAGGATCTTGGAGTACTCATCTCTAATGATCTAAGTGCTAGAACCCATTGTAACTACATAGCCAAAAAGGCATTAAGAGTTGTTAACCTAATCTTACCTAGCTTTTTCTCTGGTAATATTACACTTAATAACTAGAGCATACAAAACATTTGCTAGACCAATACTTGAATACAGTTCATCAGTCTGGAACCCACATTACGTATCTGATATTAACACAGTTGAGAAAGTTCAGAAATATTTCACAAGAAGAGTTCTCCACTCCTCTACTCATTGCAGAATACCTTATGCCACCAGACTTGAAATTCTAGCCCTAGAAAACCTAGAACTATGCCACCTTCAGTCCGATCTAAGTACAGTATATTGTATATAAAATCATACATAGCAATGTCCTACCTGTCAATGAATACTTCAGCTTTAACCATAACAACACATGAGCACACAATAGATACAAACTCAAGGTTAATCGCACCAAACTTGATTGCAGGAAATACGACTTCAGCAACAGAGTGGTCAATGTCTGGAATATTCTACCTGACTATGTGGTTTCTTCCCCAACCCCCAAAAACTTTAACTGTAGACTTTCCACTATTGACCTCACCCCTTTCCTAAGAGATCTGTAGGGGGCGTGCATAAGCGCACCACCATGCCTACCGTCCCTGTCCTATTGTTTCTTTTATTTTTCTTATATGTATCCATGTATTCATAACTATGTTTTTACTTATACCTATTATCTTGTAAGCAATTGACAAACCAAATAAATAAATAAGAAGGAGGAAAAATACTTATGACTAATTTCAAGGTCTTTGTTTAAAGACTTCCAGTTGTCAATGCATTATGTCCCATGCCCATCACTGAATGCTACAGGGCATTGATCATTTGCAGAGAACCAAGGAAATGGTTTCATATGTAGAAAAATTTCCTAAACCTTCACCTTAGCAATTATCTTCTGCAGGTTTTCTTTTCCCATGTAAGAAACTTGCTGTGATAAGGCATTTTCTTGCTTCAGAATAATGCTAGTCAAACAGGTTTTGCAGCTTTGATATTGCTTCAAGAGTTCCATTGTGCTTTTACAGTACTCACGCCTATAGAAGGGAACAAAGCCAAAAGAAAATTGAAGACATTTATACACCTGTCTAAAATTAGAAAACCTTATTTTTCAATGATTATGAACATGTCACGGAATCCAGTATGCCCATTCAACTCCAAAGTAACTAAGCTTTCACAAAAAGGAGGAAAAGAATTAGTAGACTTTAGGACAGACTAGGGATTAAATGCAGGAATATTCTTTCATAGTTTCATATACCATCTTAGAGGAAAATTAAAATTAGAATCATACTACATAAGGAGAGGAGTTTAACTTATTTTCAGTTTTGCATCGCCCACTCCTAAGCTGCTGTTCTAGTTATGATAGATGCCTATGACAATTGGCATCAGTTTATTATGAAGATAACTGACCATATAAAGAGAAAAAGAGACTATGTCTCCCACAATTGGGACTAGCAACTTGGTCATTATGCAAGGCAGTTGTTAAATGAACACACAACTGTACTTATGATCTTACTTCAGCTTACAGGTCATTAAAAATCCTAAAGGCAAGAATAGATTACAAAATGTTTTTTTCATCACAGTTGTAACTGCAAATGGTTACTAAACAAGGCAGTCACTAAATGAGGACTACCTGTATATATCACTGGCAGCATAATACCTACATTGTATGTATTAATCAAATTTTTATAGCTGCTCATCTTTCTAAAAGTGACTCTGAACAACATACAACAATCAAATAAAACCATAAATATGAAAACAACACATAAAAATATAACAGTCCATATTTAAAATAAATATTATAAAAACAAATATACAAAGTGAGCAAGGAGACGATAAGAATGGCCATTTCAGAATATCAAAGTACGAGATCCCTTCTTGGACTCTTTCACTTAGAATGCTAGAAGGAGTAGTTTTCATTCTTCCATAGTGAAAATTTTTAATTCTCTGACATTCTACTTTCTTACCAACATAGAGAGTTTCTTACACAAACTAAAATTCAATCATGTAGTGTCAGGTTATCATTTAAAAATTGTAATATACTTCCAAGTAAGAGAACTGACCCAGCCAGGATTCATGAGAATTCTGGCTTTCTATGAACAAGTCAACACACTTGTTAAATACAATATATTGCTTGTGTATACATTTTTCTTTCAAAAATAATGTTCTTTTTTCAATTTCTGGTCACATTTTTCATCATTTTCTTTTTATAGTATTTTAACCAAAAGTTCCAGGTTGATTTTTCCCACAACCACAGGCAGAAAATATGGCTTGCTAACTGACTTGTTTGACAGTTAATAATTTTGATAAACGTAATTTTTTTTCTTTACCATCCAGTTAAAAAGGAAGTTATGTGTTCCAGCATGAGTGATAATTTATCTCTAATTTATTGCAACGTGTGAAGATGGGTAATATTTCAGCCTACAGTTGCATGAAATATAGCAGAACAGCATATAGAGTATATAGTACAGTCCTAATGAAATCTATTCAGAAGTATGTTTTATTGAATTCCAGTAGGGCTTCCTTGGAGGCCCATATAAATATAGAATTGTGACCTACTTTTCCGTAATGGCAACTTTAGTCTTCTTCCATAGGTCCTGCGTAAGTTTCCACTGCTGACTGACTTCATTCTCCTGGGCTTTTGGCAACTGGGAAAATTGACTAATCTCATTCAAGGCTTTCATTTCTGGAGCACAGCGATCCAGCTTTTTCCACAGTTCATCAAGCAACTTCAACCTATATTATGAGGAGAAAAAAATAGATTGATACCTTATAATTTCATTGTGACTATTCTGATATTCTTTATTTTAAAATACTTTCAGATTTATGATGTCTATAGAGATTCTCAGTCATCCAGGTAATGGTTGTCCCAAAGATGCTTTTTCAGGAGGCAACTGGATTTCCTTGTTAGAGCTGAAGAAGCTTCTTGGTTGAGAAGTGAAACATCTTCAAAGAAAAACAAGAAAGTCCAGTTGTCGCCTGAAAAAGCATCTTTCAGATTGATTATGTTGTATTTTATTATGTTGTATTTTATCATTATATCATTTTAAAATACTTCCAGTTTCAAGAAGGGCTTCACCTTCCATAACTCCCAACCATATCTAAGAATTAATGAAAAAAAGTTTTCTCACCTTTGTGAAATAGCAGGAATTGTTGGGTCCTTCAAGCCTATCACACTGATTGAATCATATATATCTTGAAGATTTTTAAATAGCTCATTATTCCTTAAGGAAAATTCTTCAGTTTTTTGACTCTGAGTTGCTTCAGAACTAATAGAGGGGAATTCTTTTACAAGTAAAGCTGCTACGAACTCTTCACAGCCTATCTTTTTATCACTTTCAGCCTCTACCAAATAGATATGAAGTTGCTTCAATTTCTCATCTAGAGACTTGGCCTCTTTCTCCAGGTGTGAAACCTCCTCCATCGACTGTGGAGACCAGCTGAGCGATGTAGAGGCATCCATAGAACATTGAATACGTCTCAGGGAAGCCAGAAAACTTTCAAAATCTTGCAAGACTGTTTCAATGGCTTGTATCTTTTGACTCAGTTCTTCTAACTGTATTTTATACTCGCTGATCATTAAACCAATGGCCTGCCTATCTCTTTGGTCAATTGTCCATCCTGCAGGGCTCTTTAGTTCTTGGCTGTTGCATTGTTCAATGCAATTTGATATAGATGCCTGAATTTTCTGAAAGAAGGAAAGATAAGATCAGGACACTATGTTTTATGCATATTATTAACCACAATGCTATTACACTTGCTAAATCTGAGGAATGAGAGATGGCTCTATAGCAAAATATTAGGCTGCATACTTTTATTCAGAAAGGTACAAGTTGAAAACCTGACTTCTCTAAGTAAGGCTGGAAAAATTCCTGCCTGATAGTCTAAAAAGTTATTACTGGTCAATGTTGATAGACCAACTTGATATAAAGTACTCTAGTTTCTTATATTCCTAAGCACAGATGAAAAATGTAGATGAAAAATGATGAGAAGACACATTTATTCTTCAAGGGGAATAAACAGATTTGGAAGAAAGCACTTAAAGAAATCTTTGGGTATTTGGGCCATAATAAATATTGTAGTATAACACAAAGTAAGAAAGATTCAGAACCTCTCTACCACTTTTCCTTAGAGAAAAGTGGCTGAGATAGGGAAGTTTTAACTGAGAAAAGAGGAGGCTTCAGCATTTCTGCTTCCAAGTTCTTTTCTGAAAATTTCTTTTTGCAATTTTGCACTTAGGATTTCTGTAAATATAGGTAATGCTGTAGATGAATCTGGTGCTAACCTACTGGAGATGAATAGGTGCGCTTCAAATTCCAAAGAAAATTTCAACATAATCAGTACAAACCTTCACTTTCTTGTACAGAAGATCAGTTTTACTCATCACAAAACGTGGAATGTCTCTTTTGCAAAGCTGTTCTTCTGATCTGCAGAGTAAGACCCACTCATTTTCTATTGGCATAACAAGGGCCAAAGCAGCCTTTAAAGATTCCATCCTGCAGGACAGCAAGCACAAACGGAACAGGACATCACTTAAGGAAATGCCTCCACACTTTGTACAATATATAAGGTCGGAGAAGTTCTTGACACAACTCCATTAACAAAGAATGTGGTATATACCCAGGAATTTCTGTTTTTTTGCTTTTTCATTGAAGTTCATAGGTCTTAGCTTTTGAGGATCAGCCAGGCTTTGCAAAATTTTGATTAACAGCAGTAGGATAATCAATGCCCTAACTCACCATTTTGTCTAAAATATCAAGCCCATGTGAGCCTAAAGAAAAAGTCTAGAAAAAGAGCAAAACTTCCCAAGATCACTTTCACTGCCTGCAGAAGTTACTGAAAGAACTGGCCATCCATGTGGATGTGCTATGCTTGACAAATCTAATTTGATACAATGTTTGATATCAGTTACTACGACTTCCCTTAGGAGTTCATAATGATGGGGTAACTTGAGCACATCTTTGTTATCTTCATTTCTGGGGAATTTCTGTTCTTCCTTTTTATGACTAGATGAATATATTTTTTTTAAACAGGAGACCTTCCTAGACATCAATCCAGATTGTGCATTATAACTTCTTCTCACTTTCTGTGGTCTCAGTCCATAAGGAGTACAAGCCATCCCCTCTTCACATGAACAGCTGAATACTTAGGAGGCAATCTGCAAGCTAAACTAACTTTCCCCATCTCTCACACCATCTGATAAGTCAGACTCGTTCAGAATAGGGCATCACTGATTTTCTTGAAGACAAAATCTATGTGTGCCTCCCTTATGTCCAGTCAATTAGCCCACTGCTTCATCAAGCTTTAATTTGCCAACTGTACCTTTTATCTAAAGCAAACTGGAGCTCATCCCATTCTTTGTGCAAATCTTCCAAGTCCATCTCACTTGAGAACTTTACTAACTGTGAAGCCACAGAATCAAAGAGTTTCCAGGAAGAATTACCTTTGCTTTCTAAAGCCTGAAACAAAATGTATAAATATTAGTGGTGTGCTATAATTTTTAAGTAACATTATCTGATTTATAAACACAAACACAGAAATAATTTTAACTATGCTTTTTTCCATAGTTTACCATAGTGTGTTAACTGAGACAAAGGACAACCCTTGTCTATTGATTATAATACATTCATATAAATTCCAATTGGAGTATTAATAAATTTAATTACTTTAATAATTAAAACAAATAATTAAATTAAATTAAATAATTTAATTCATTTGTCAATTTCTCTGCACAGGAACTTAATGAATGATCAATAATTACCAATGCTAACCCTGTTAAAATTGAAAAGAATAATGTATTCTTATATTAAACTCTTGTGCTAGACCCTGCTACATTCCAAGAAACAGTTAAGGATGGCAAAATATAATGTTTACTTTCATAAGCAGAAGTCTTATATAACATGTCCTGCAGTATGTTTCTTTTGTGAGCTGTTCCATGGATGACCCATTAGAATCCATTTGTTTTTTACTGCCAAGATAAACACCTGTCTACATAATACCCCAAGATAATGTTTTGTGCTTGTGTGCAGCAAATTGCATTGTGACATTCTTTGGCATCAGTCAAGCTTCCTGTCTTATCAATTTAATTTTTCTAAATTCTTTTTTAAGTTAGTATTAAGTTAACAGGATATAAACAAAATAATCTGCCTCAAACAGAATCTTACACTGCTACTGGCTCTCTCTGTGGCCCCCAAGTTCACTGTCAGAAACTCAAATGGGGATAGTTGTATTTTAGGCTGTTGTTTGTGCTCTGGTTTACAGGTATTTTGTAACTGACCTAATAACCTGACCTAATAACCATTTTATGAACATGTCCATATTCTCTCAAAATTCCAAACATAATCACTTGTGCTAAATGTCTGAGAAACCCTGACTTAATAGACAATTTAGGAAAGCATCTGAACACTTACTTCCAGTGTTTGCAATTTGTTCTTAAGGGAAGAAATGTTTCTCACATCATCAGTTAAAGACGGAGTTATAGTCTCCCTGATGCTCTTTAGGTGAAGCTTCAGATTATGCCTTGCTGCGTCATAGCTGAGAGAAAACATGAGATTGTTAGTACTATTATGCAAAATTGGACATGAAAAAAAAATTCCGGTTTCTTCTAATGCTGCCTTCTCCTTGTCTTCATGAAATAATACAACTGCTTGTTTTTTATTGTTTTACTTTCTAATTTCTTCTATTAGCCATCTTGATTTATATAATCATCGTCTTACTTGCACATCCTAAATGAATGGGGTTTTTTTATGTTTAAGTTTATTTTCTGGCCAGGAGCCACAAAAACTATGCACAAAAAGAGGCAGGTTCTTAAATTAAATGTTCAACATGCAAGTAAGCAAATCCAACCAGGAGAGTTCTGATTTCTGAGGCTGAGGAAGGAACACTGAGGAGATTTCCTAAAGGGAGATAAAGTAAGGCACTCAATTGGAACAGCCCTAGTCTATTTCAAGACCAAATAATTGTGAAATCTAAAATAATTATTCAGACTAGTCCAAAGAAGGGAGGGAATGAGGAAAATGCATTTTATATCTCTGGACAACTGCATAACTGGATAGAAGCATTCCTGTCAAACAGACAACAAATGGTCAAAATTGGGAGTGTCCTATCAAATTCTGTACCTGTCAATAATGGTGTCCCCCAAGGAAGTGTTCTAGGACCAACTCTCTTCATACTCTACATAAATGACCTCTGTGATCATATTAAGAGCAACTGCGTTCTTTTCGCTGATGATGTAAAGCTGTTCAATACCACAGACAATACTGCTACCCTTCAAAAAGATCTTGACTATGTATCAGAATGGTCAAACAAATGGCAACTTCAAATCTCAACAAATAAATGCTCTGTCTTACATATTGGCAAAAAAAAATATCAGAAAATAAAATACAAGCTGAATAGTCAAGATCTTGTTGATGATCCAAGCTCTGTAAAGGATCTTGGAGTACTCATCTCTAATGATCTAAGTGCTAGAACCCATTGTAACTACATAGCCAAAAAGGCATTAAGAGTTGTTAACCTAATCTTACCTAGCTTTTTCTCTGGTAATATTACACTTAATAACTAGAGCATACAAAACATTTGCTAGACCAATACTTGAATACAGTTCATCAGTCTGGAACCCACATTACGTATCTGATATTAGCACAGTTGAGAAAGTCCAGAAATATTTCACAAGAAGAGTTCTCCACTCCTCTACTCATTGTAGAATACCTTATGCCACCAGACTTGAAATTCTAGAACTAGAAAACCTTGAATTACGCCGTCTTCAGTCTGATCTAAGTATGGTATATAAAATCATACATTGCAATGTCCTACCTGTCAATGAATACTTCAGCTTCAACCGTAACAACACAAGAGCACACAATAGATACAAACTCAAGGTTAACCGCGCCAAACTTGATTGCAGGAAATACGACTTCAGCAACAGAGTGGTCAATGTCTGGAATACTCTACCTTACTCTGTAGTTTCTTCCCCAAACCCCCAAAACTTTAAAACTGTCTACTATTGACCTCACCCCTTTCCTAAGAGCTCTGTAGGGGGCGTGCATAAGCGCACCAACGTGCCTACCATCCCTGTCCTATTGTTTCTTTTATTTTTCTTATATGTACCCATTTCATGTATTCATAACTATGTATATACTTATACTTATTATCTTGTAAACAATTGACACATCAAAATAAATAAAATAAAAAATAAAATAAATAAAAAAATGTTACTCTTTATAATAATTCTAGGACTGGAATCTATCAGATTAAAACATGGTAAACCAGTTTGAAATTCAGCTTTATTTAAAAAAAAAGATGTTTGCTAATTTATTCCAGATATTTCTGGTAAATACCTATTTCTCATCATTCAATATTTAACACTGAAATATACCTTTCTTTTAATTTTTTTAAGGCCAGGTCTCCATCACTTTCCAACTTTTCTGTGTGGTGTCTGCCATTTTGCAATTCCTTTTCTGATTCCAATTTTATACAAGAAACATCTTCTGAATCCTAAAAATATAACCAAAATAATTAAACAATTGTAAGATATAATATCCATTAAAATAATTATGTAGATTCAATGGAATGAGACCTTATTAATTTTCCATATAAAAGAAATCTCACCCCCCCAAATTAAACACTTTAAAAGACTGAAGATTACAAAGTCACAAAGAAAATTACTTTCACAGGTTTATTTTACCCTAATTCAGGACATTTTATATGAAAAGTTGGGATATTGAACATTTGTTTTCCCATTCATGTTGATAAAGAGGAACTTTTCATATGCATAAAGGCTGCATTCATCCATGCCTAAAGTTAAATGTTCTTATCACAGTATTTTTTCCTATGTTTAGGAATGGTAAAATAGTAAATGTGCTCAGACTAGAAAGTTCATGTTTTACAGAATACAGATCAAAAATGCTTATAGAAGGTAGTTTTTAAATCAATCTGAATTTTTAAATAAGCACCTGAGATTTGTCCCCAGTTTATCAGTTAGAATTATGAAAGTGACAACCTTCATTATTCCTCACAATTTCTTTTACACTAAATAAATAAATGACTAGAATAAATAAATTCGGCTATATGTTTTTATTCAAAACTATTATTGGGGGGGGGGGTTTGTTGTTAATACTAATGGGAACTTCCAAGATGTTTTTAAATTAGATTTATCCAGACATAAAATTCCAAGGCTGTCAGGGGAATAACTCATGCCTGAATTCAGGAAAGATTGTAATAACTTTTTCTGCTTCTTTTAAAAAGTTGCAATATAGGAAAAACTTGATCTGACCTGGCCTCAGTGCAGCAGGCTTTACATACAAAGGATGAAATTTAACTGCAATTTATGTCATCTGCATCATAAGGTTGTGATGCAATGGTGTTGAAGATCCATCTCAAGGCGTGCCTGTGATTTTCACAGCCTTCCGTTCTGACCCAGCTCCCCAAACACAACAAACCCTCTGATGTGTGAACTCAAAACATTCCTTTATTAGAAATGCCAGCAGCTCCGGCAAAAAGTTTCTCTCACATGCTAACAAGTCCATCTGGCCAGAAGATGAATAGTTGTTTGCCACACCTATTCATCTCCGCCCGCTGCCTTTTATCCCCAGAGCTAGGGTGGGGCCTCATCAGCAGTGGTGGCTCTTCCTTCCCCAGGATCAGCCCACAGTTTTCCACTGCTCTCCCCTTCTCTGCCTTCTGCATATCCGCGCATCAGGCACTGGACCCAGCTGTTCCTCCCCTTCTTCATCAACCACCTCCAGACCTGGGGGCTGTTGACTCTCCATCTGAGGACTGACAGATAGCCCAGGCTCCACCTCTGTCTCTCTCTCCCTGCCAGCTCCATTCCTTCTTCCCCCTCAGAGCTCCCAGATCGCCCTGATGCTGACCCTGACCCCCATACCACATCCTCCTTCTCCTCTGATTTGGCTGCTGGAGGGGCCAGCAGCCGACAGGCCACAATACCTTCTCACCCCACTCACTGTCCCGGTAGCCAGCTATCCAACTGGTCTGAAGTGTCCAAGCAAAACATCTTGGTCAGTGAGAGGGAACTTTCAGGAAGAGGAGACCTGCAACTGCTAAGCCCAGTATTTCTCAATCTTTGCAACTTGAAGATGTGTGGACTTCAAGCTGCTAAAGGTTGAGAAAGACTGGCTTAGTCAGTTGCATTCTGGAAGCCCAAGGAGTTAGCACTCAAGGTAAAAGTCAGGAGGTGATGATGCAGAAGGGATGCAACGGACTGCTTGTATCTCAGGGGGATGCAGGATAGCTGCTTATTATAGGATAAGAGTTCATATTGAAAGCCTTGATATCAAAAGGTATTAATGAATTAATAGCATGACTGCTATGCTATACTAAACAGACCTTATAATCACCAATGGAGAAAAGTATTGTGCGAAGAATTGCAAATACTACAGTACCTTATGAATTTCAGGTTTCCAATCTGTGGCTCTTTGATTCATGCAAGAGTGTCACATAATAACAAATAGGCATTGATCTACAGACGTTTATCTACATACATCAGTCTACATCAACCAGTTGGAATGCAACTCCCCCAACTCAGTTTTGGATTTGGGAAGGCTGACCTACATGAACATTAAAATGTGGGTCCTACCTTTTCAGCTTCAGGATTCTGAGATGATACCTTCTCTTCATTGACTGAAGCAGATGTAAACTCTCTGAATTTTAAAATGAAATAACACCAGAGCAAAGCAATGAAAAATACAACTTAACACCGTGGGGGGGGGGGGGCACCACCCCAATTCTATGTAATGTTACTAAGAAAATAATTCAAAGTTTCCCAAACTTCATTTCTTATTTTCTCTCCCTCTCATCTCCACTCCTGGCTCTTCCTTGGAATTCAACATGTTTTATTCATACATCACAAATAGTAGCATCTGCAGGGACTTGCTATTTTCATTGCAATGATGAAAACAACATTACAACATTGTGCTATAAGTTCTGCCCTTTGGGAGCACATGTGATACTGCCATGCGTGTAAAAAATGGTTGGAACTGGTGACATAAAATCACCCCACTGCTGTTCTTAATTTTTCTTTGCTCACCCCTCACCGTGATCCCCCCCATGTACCCCTTTCAGAAAAAGTACTTTAATTTCAAGATCAATTTACACATAATGGTGAGTTATAAGTTTCTTCCTCAAAATAGCTTACCACACTACACACACTTTTGCAAAATGTCTGGTTTTAATTTACAGCATAATGAAATCCATTACTCCAGCCATGAAATGAGGGACAGTCAAAGGTGTGAAATAGTTTAAGAACCTCTCACAAAAGCAATTTTATCTGATGCTAAACCAACTATAAGTGCCCCCATGCCACAGTTCTACACTAATTATTGAAAATACCCACCCTTTCTCAGGTGAATGGTCATCGCCAGTCCTAGATACCAACTCATTGTAAATAGTTGCTGCGCATTTTTGAAGTTCTTTTTCCTTTTGCTCATATTCTGCAATTGGCAGCTTTATTTTGGACTCCTTTTCCACTTTGGTTATTTTATCACTCATTGTTTTCAAAGCTTGCAAGCAAGTGTTAAGCTCACCCAGGCTACCTTGCTGAGAAAAGAAGGCCTAAATGGATAAAGAAATGCAGATTCATCCATCTTGAGTACTCCAAGTCCTTATTAACTGACAGTTGAAATCACCTCCACTCATGCCATAAAACTCTTAATGCCAGTCCCACAAACACATTTAAGCCTCACCTAACCAATCGTATTCTTGAAGGGTCATGGCTATGATTACATTATGGATAAGGAATGTCTGCTGAAATTCAGAAGCCAGAGGGCTGACCTGTTAACATATTCAATTGTCTGTTGATGTGAAGTTGAACTGTTTGCTCCATTAAATGACCAAATCATATGGTGATTCAAATTCAATATCCAAAGGTGCCTTGGAGTATGCACCAGGGCAAATGTAATATCTGCCAAATTCAAAGCAGGGGCATGCTCCAAGGCACTTTTTAGGGGGGGAAAGTCCAAAGCACTGACAGCCAAATATCAGAGAAAGAACTAAAAGGATCAGAATACTTACCCAGTACTGTTCACTGGTAATTTAGCTCACAGGTACCATTTTGGATTTAAAAAAATTATCCTTACTTACTGTAGACAGGCAGAATATGCACACTTTCAGCTCAGGCATATAGATTTTACTGAACTAGTATGTTATAATTATTTCACTTTGGGACATGCAGCTCACCAACTTACTAAACACATGATTGCATCATTATACTACAGTATCATTCAATTTTACACTGTTTCCCAGTTGAGCAGGAAGACAATTCCAGTATGGGTTCTTGGCCTCCTCCAGTGACAATGACGTCAGGAAACAGAGTCAAAGGAAATCTCTTGTGGCATTGAGATACTGGAGAACCACAATTGTAATTCTGACCCATTACATGGTGGCTTGTAGAATTAAAAAAAATGCCTAAGAAACAAAAGAGAATGCCAGTTTTATATGGTACCTCATGCTCCTCAATAAGTCCTTTGGTTTTCCCAGAATTGAGCAGTTTCTTCTCTTTCTTAATCTGCTTATTGAGATTTGAAAAAGTCTTATTGAACTTCTCTCTTTCAATTTTCAATTTCAGGTGAATATAAGACATGATTTCACAGCGAGCAGCCTGCAAAAGAGATGGACAAATCCAAATATTCATTTTAAGCAGCAAGGGAAGTATTTTACATCCAAATCTTATTCTAAGATCAGAATAACATTTTAGATTCAGAATAATCCTGCAAGCTATGTGTTTGTTCATTACAACCTTCCTGAATTTCCACTCAAGGCAGTTAACAGTAAAATAAACATAAAAGAATGAAATTGTAATTAAAAGATTAAAGTTCATCCAAAGGATATGTAGATAAGAGAAAGAGAGAGAATATAGCAGGGTTCACAAAATCCTCCTCTACATATTTGTTTGATATACACTGCTCAAAAAAATAAAGGGAACACAAAATAAGACATCCAAGATCTGAATGAATAAAATATTCTTATTAAATACTTTGTTCATTACATAGTTGAATGTGCTGACAACAAAATCACACAAAAATTATCAATGGAAATCAAATTTAGCAACCCATGGAGGTCTGGATTTGGAGTTGCACTCAAAATTAAAGTGGAAAAAAACACTACAGGCTGATCCAACTTTAATGTAATATCCTTAAAACAAGCCAAAATGAGGCTCAGTAGTGTGTGTGGCCTCCACGTGCCTTTATGACCTCCCTACAACACCTGGGTATGCTCCTGATGAGGTGGCGGATGGTGTCCTGAGGGATCTCCTCCCACACCTGGACTAAAGCATCCCCCAACTCCTGGACAGTCTGTGGTGCAATGTGGCATTGGTGGATGGAGCGAGACATGATGTCCCAGATGTGCTCAATTGGATTCAGGTCTGGGGAACAGGCGGGCCAGTCCATAGCATCAATGCCTTCGTCTTGCAGGAACTGCTGACACACTCCAGCCACATGAGGTCTAGCATTGGCTTGCATTAGGAGGAACCCAGGGCCAACCGCACCAGCATATGGTCTCACAAGGGGTCTGAGGATCTCATCTCAGCACCTAATGGTAGTCAGGCTACCTCTGGCGAGCACATGGAGGGCTGTGCAGCCCCCTAAAGAAATGCCACCCCACACCATTACTGACCCACTGCCAAACCGGTCATGCTGGAGGATGTGGCAGGCAGCAGAACATTCTCAATGGCTTCTCCAGACCCTGTCACGTCTGTCACATGTGCTCAGTATGAACTTGCTTTCATCTGTGAAGAGCACAGGGCGCCAGTGGCGAATTTGCCAATCTTGATATTCTTTGGCAAATGCCAAATGTCCTGCACGGTGTTGGGCTGTAAGCACAACCCCCACCTGTGGACGTCGGGCCCTCATACCACCCTCATGGAGTCTCTTTCTGACCATTTGAGCAGCCACATGCACATTTGTGGCCTGCTGGAGGTCATTTTGCAGGGCTCTGGTAGTGCTCCTCCTGTCCCTCCTTGCACAAAGGCAGAGGTAGTGGTCCTGAAGCTGGTTTGTTGCCCTCCTATGGCTTCCTCCATGTCTCCAATGTACTGGCCTGTCTCCTGGTAGCGCCTCCATGCTCTGGACACTAAGCTGACAGACACAGCAAACCTTCTTGCCACAGCTCGCATTGATGTGCCATCCTGGATGAGCTGCACTACCCAAGCCACTTGTGTGGGTTGTAGACTCCATCTCATGCTACCACTAGAGTGAAAGCACCGCCAGCATTCAAAAGTGACCAAACCATCAGCCAGAAAGCATAGGAACTGAGAAGTGATCTGTGGTCACCACCTGCAGAACCACTCCTTTATTGGGGATGTCTTGCTAACTGCCTATGCTTTCTACCTGTTGTCTATTTCATTTGCACAACAGCATGTGAAATTGATTGTCAATCAGTGTTGCTACCTAAGTGGACAGTTTGATTTCAAGAAGTGTGATTAACTTGGAGTTACATTGTGTTGTTTAAGTGTTCCCTTTATTTTTTTGAGCAGTGTATTTAGGCACTTCCCTTCATTAAAAATGTCTGTAGTGATTAACGATAAAATCCATTATGAAAAACAAGTGAACAAATAAAACACAAAGAGAACTATAGCAAACTATCTATACAAACCATATCATATGCCACATTCATCTAACATTTATATACATTAAATATGTCAACTCTATTTACAATTTTGTTGAAAATGGAAGCAAGCTAAAACATGATTATATAAAAGATATTAAAACATAGAACAGAAAAACAAATTAGTTGAGTGGGTGCAATACCTCTCTAAATTAAAAGCTCACATTTTGTTAGAGAGAAGTTCCCCAAGGATGGGCTCCAGCATGAGTCCAGAAGCTTGGAAGACTAAACCTCTGATTCCGGTGACTGACCCAGATTGGATCCTAAGACCTCACTGTCTATTTCATAACACAAAGGGACCACTCCTTCATGTAATATTGTAAAATTTGTAATAACCTGTAAGCCACCCAGTGCCATCTCATAGGAGAGATGGACGGCACAAAAATTTAATAAATAAGTAAAATTTGGATGTAGTCACTGAAAAGGCTCTGTCTTAAACTTCTGCCAAGCAGAACTTCCACTTTTGCATATATATATATATATATGCTATAGAAAACCCCAGCTACAGAATTATCAGAGAAGCCATAGAGATTGAAAAAAGACCTGAAAGCATGAATAGAAGAGATGACTCCACCAGACTGTCAATTATCTGGAAGCCTGCACTCACAAACAAAAAAATCTCCACCACAAGCCAAGCAAACCCCAGGGCACAAACAGACCACCCCCTGATACCTCTAGCTCAAACTCACCCCAACCAGGCACCCAGATGAAACCTAGCTTCCTAATAAATGATAGCCGTCCTTTTACCCAAAGCCAAGCTGCACTAAAAACCTCCAATACAGGAAACACAATGTTGCCAGCCAATCAAAAAATGCTACAAAACAGACAGAAGATATTAGAAACACCAATCAAGCAGAACACAGCAAACTCCAAGACCAATAAACACAGACCAAGATTCCCAACCAATCAGGATGAAGGAAAAAACCATTCTAACACAGCAGTAGGCTAGCACCAAATTTAAAACAGAAATGGCTGTGAAAGCCTGACTCACAAACGAACACAATACAGAAGCCTGATGATGGCAGATGAGATTCTGCCGAAACGTTGCTACAACTTTAAAAGCACAACTACAATGACGTGGGAAAATACCCGAACAAAGCCGAATGCCATACATGTAAGTACCTGCGAAAACTTAAGAAAACATACTGAAGGGAAGACCAACAAAAAGAATGCATATATATTATTATACCAGCCAAAATCTCCCAAGTGAAGAAGTTGTAGTAGTATGGAGAGCCACAAGAATTTGCATCTAGATTCCTCCTAACCAACTCTGACCTGGCAACAAAATACAGTCTAATGCTACAGATTCATATCCTCTATACCAGAGATCCCAAACTCCTGGGCATTGGCCAACTACCAGACTATGGCCTATTCAGAACTGGGCCACATGAGTGGTTGGCCACCATGCATGCACCTGTAGCTCAACTTCTGCGAGCAGTAGGCCAGAGAGCATATGCATGCATGCGTGCCACTCATGCAAAGCTGCCGTCCTGCCAGTCACATGGCTGAGTTTACCACTCTTTCCCCCTCCCGCTGGGCTGCCACTGATATATACAGTTGCTGTAGACATGGAGAAAGTTCTAGCAACCACATAAAAGTAACTTGTCCATCATTACTAAGTGGAACTAATTTATTGGAATATGTCTTCAGCTTAGGTCTTTTTGGATGAAAGCTAATAATTCTCACCCTTATATCATTCATACTGTAGCAAAAAAATCCTGCAAACATTTCATGCAAATATTAAATACTCAAGTGGCTTTTTTTATTAAAATATATATTTCCAAGCACATTTTCTCACCTCCCATCTCTCACAAACATCTTTGCTCCTTTCCTCCACAAGTGCCTTTTCATGAGCTGATAAAATGCTTTTCAGCTGTTCTGCTGCTTTCAAAAACTTGCTAAGAATGTTAGTATCCAAGATGCTAAAAGCCTCCTGGAAAAAAAATGACATAAAATTATGGAATGATAATCAAAACAGCAACCCCTCCATCCCAAAGTAGATGCATGCCTAGGTGATATAAGGGTCCTTCCCATTCCAGTACAATTACAGATTAAAACAAGTTTTGCTGGACGTGGATGGACAACCTTTGAAATAACATGTTTGAAGCCATAGTCAGAACAAGAACAGCTCATCTAATGTGCATTCAGTGCATTCATGCTGGCTTGGTGAATTCTGGGAGTTGAAGTCCACACATTTTAAAGTTGTCAAGATTGAGAAACACTGAGTCAGGCCCTAGGACATAATGCACTGAAAAGCTTCTGTAGCCCTAACATGAAGATAGGGCCCATCTGGTTTGTTTATCTTTCCTGTGTTCTCTAGTTTCATTAGTTTGAAGCCCTGTTACTATCCCTCCCCATTAGATCTTTGATATAACTCTGGGGCACTGCATAGGGAAATTACAAGTATCTCCATTCTATTGTGTGCTGATCTCAGCCCCATAGCCCGCACAAGATAAGACCAGCAGGTGAGGCCAACTGGAACCCTAAGTTAAACACTCATGTATATTTGTTAGTTGCAGTTTCCTACCAAGAAGCTGCATCCCTAGAAGACATACCATTATATTTCAATTACTTTATAATCAAAAGCAGAAGGAAAACGGGGAAGAGACAGGCAATGCTGTTCCTTTTTTTTAAAAAAAAAGAAAAATACTGTTTTATTGAACTGTAAGATGCAAGATGCAAGTAATAAATTGTATTATTTGGGTACAGTGGTATCTATACATATGAACTAGATATTATTAATGCTATAATGATTTAGGCAACTTATAATTTTACAGGTAAGGAAAAGACTTTATATCAACATTAACTGTGGTTTGTAAATTGTAACTGTTAATAAACATAAGGTTGCTGTTTCTGTTAACAGGTGGTTAATCTATGGCAGCAAAAAATCAGGGGTCTGGTAATATCTTTTCCAACCAATGCAGGAGTTGCAGCTCACAAAGGCTTATTATGCCTTTTAATAAAATGTGTTAACTGAAAAATGTGCTTTCAGACTTGATTTGGAGACATCATTTTGGTGTTTTTCACAGTCCAGATTATTTATGTCAGAGATGTACAATTTCCATCAGTTCAAATACTGCACCATGTTTTGCATAATATTTTGAGGGTCTCATTCCAAAAATACATAGGGCCAGGCTTGTTTTGGGAGCTGGTTTTAACAGGTAAAATGAATGCCTTCAGCATGTACAAGATTTAAAGAACCCATTAAATCTCTAAAAATGTTGACAGAGCTCAAACCATTATAAAAGGAACACTAGTAGAGCATACTTTTTTTTTTAGTTCTGCCTGGAGACATCTTTAACACGTATTTTAAACTCGCATAAGACCCAGTTTTGTTTTTCATTTAGGACAACCACAGTACTCTGTCCTTTAGGGTGCTTACAATGGTATCATGGATTAACTCACTTCATATTTTGAACGTGGTTCTTCAGAAATTGTTTTTTGGCCTACAAGATGCATGGCTTTTAGAACAATTGTTTCAAGTTCCTTGTGAGCTTTCTCAAAGTTTAGCTTGTCCTCATCTTCTGAGGAAAACTCATCTGGTGTACATGGATCTGTCTGAAGGCTAATAGGAACAATCTAGGAAGAAAAATAATAGGAAAAAGCATCATGTAGTCTTACCATATATCCATCAAAAGGCCTGTGATTCATCTTTTCCTATTATGCAATTGTTAGAGAGTTTAGATGGAAGATGGAAAACTTACTATCTGAACTTTCTTTAAACTTAATTGCATACTAAAAATCCTTTTCTAGAGCTGGAATAATTCCGACCATTATCAAAATAGAAACAATTATGGGAAGATGTATAGTATATATTTCAGGATTGTGTACATTTCTGTAACTAATTCTCTTATAGGACTGCATTTTTAAAAAATCCTTTATGGATCTGATCCTCTGAAAAACTAGAAAATGGAAAAGATAAATATAAGACATAGATAATATAGTACGAGATGTGGCTGCAAAAAAGGTAAATTCAATTTTAAGTTTCATAAACATAAGTACCACTTCTAAATGGTGAAATCATCCCATTATATTCTGCTTTGATCAGACCTCCACATCAAGTATTGTGTCAAGTTCTAGCTACTACACTTTAGGAAGGATTCAGAGAAAATTGAAAAATGTTCAACTAGGGGCAATGAAGATGGTAGGAGAATAGAAACTGTTATGAAGAGGGATTGAAAGAACTGGGTATGCTTATCCTTCAGAAAAGATAACTGAAGGGAGATGATGACACCCTTCACATATTTAAAAGGATATCTCTCAGAATAAGGTCAAGACTTCATCTCTCTCACTCACTCCATTCTTACTCACTGCAGAATATGAAATAATTCCTGAAGGTATGGGGGGGGTGGGGGGGAGACAAGAGGCAACCCAACCCAGACCTGGATTGGAGACAAATAAGAGAGTTTGGACAGCCATCCCTAAAATCTCCCAGGATATATCTGTTAGGGTAAAAGATGTAAGGATTTAGTCTGGCAAGATTCTGTCTACTGCATATAAGCAAATAAAGTCCTGAACTCTAGCTGATTGTTCCATTTAGTTTTTGGATTTAGCTTAACAAAAAAGCTCTATTTTCCAATAAGGTACTATTAGAAGTCTATGCAAGCCTGTATTCTGGGTAACTGACTTTTAGAGCTCCCCAAGGCAGGCTCGAACCAAGTTTACCAAGCCAAAGAGGTAAACAGTAGCCCAGGAAATATAAGTGCTCTGTCTAAGGGAGCTTCAATTGTGTACCCATGCCTGGCAGAGTAAAGTTTTTGACAGGCCCACTCCATAAATGAATCTGAACTATAGTCTAATTTTGGTTAATATGACTCACACTGTATTTCATAGATATTACAAAAACACAAACCAAGCCAAATTGGGCTAGACCAAAGTTCAATATTCTGTTTTTCACCATGGTAAACCAGATTCCCCTGTGGTAGAGGAGGAGGAAGAGAAGGAGGAGGAGACCAAGGGACTAATTCTGTCTTAAGAACAAATGCATACAAAGCCAGAATTGAGAAGACAGCAACAGATAGTGAATGCCATCTATGCAAAGAAGCTGAAGATACAGTGGACCACCTGGCAAGTTGGAGCAAGAATATTGCAAACAAGCAAAAGTAGTAGCAATAGTAATAGGGGCCTTGGGTGCAATCCCAAAAACAACAGGAGCACCACTTGAACACATTGACAAATTCACCATCAGTTAATTGCAAAAAGCAGCTTTACCCGGAACAGCTCACATCCTGTAAGGATATCTGTAACACCATCAAACCAGAGGTGGTATTCAGCAGGTTCTGACCAGTTCTGGAGAGCCAGTAGCAGAAATTTTGAGTAGTTTGGAGAACCGGCAAATACCACCTCTCACTGGCCCTGCCCCATCTATTCTCTGCCTCTCAAGTCCCAGCTGATCGGCTGGGTCTTCTTTTGTTGCCCTGCACAGAAGAACGGAGCTGGAAAGCAGGTTAGTGAGGTGGGAGGGAATGGGATTTTGCAGTAACCTTCCCACAGGAGTGGGGAGGGAATGGAGATTTTACAGTATCCTTCCCTTACCATGCCCACCAAGTCACACCCACCAAGCCCACAGAACCAGTAGTAAAAAAATTTTGAATCCCACCACTGCATCAAACATCCAGATCTGCCCATCTCAGGTCCTTGGAAAGGACTCAATATGTAGACAAAAATTCCAAACCCAATCTGAATATCTGGCTAACATAATAATAATAATAAATTTCTTTCTACTCTTGTTCCCCAGCTATTAGTAATTTGAAAACAGCATACAGTTACCATGACTTGTAACTATAAGAGCACTAATAACTGCCCAGTATAAGTATGGGCTCTTTTAAATGGGTAGTCTTAAACCAATATATCTGCAGATCTGGAAGCAGGATTATGGGTGGGATTTTTTCCTTCCCTGCATAGTTCCTTACAAATGCACAGACGCTATATCACCTGTAATGAATGGCAAGAGTAGAGATTTAGTTCAGAATGCAGCAAATAAGGCAAGTACTAAAATTCTAGTTTATATATAAAGTAGCAGATTCTTTACCTCTGCCTTTTCAAAGCACATTTTAGGAAGCTCCTTTGAGGGTTCCACTGGATTACTAAACATGTCTGGATTGGATTTCCTAGAAGTCTCAACAGTTCCATTATTATCTGTTATTAACATTGTTTCTTCCTCTTGCATCCTCAACAATTTCATTTCCTACAAACATCAAGCAACATTTGTTATAATCCCCAAGTTTGCTAGTTGGACTCTAATGGCTTTATTCTAAGTATGTGTTTGTATTAATGAAAGTCATCCAAGAATCTGTAAACATGATACTTTTAATTGATTTTCTCAATTAACACCATAAAATAACAACTATTATGAATGGTTAGTGTTCTTGTATAGATTTGGAGTTTTATAAATGTGGCAATATCAACATTTATCAAGGTCTTTTCACCATGCTTTTTTTAAAAAACTACTAATTAAGAATATTTCATGCATATGAGAAAGTAGGTCTATTAAGGCATATGCCACAATAAATCTTGTGTTACTAACTTATTACAAAACCATCAATGAGTTTTGAAGACTTTAATTAATAGGTCACATGCAAATTCCATTTCAGTAAAACTGATAACTGTAGACTAAGAAAATGTGAAATTGGTCCCTACAACCACTGAATTCTAATTTTAATTTGATAGAAAGAAAAAATAATTAACTACAGAAGGAATAACAATATTCACTGCAATATTACTTAATATTAGAATGCAATGTGATTGACTATGAATGATAGGATTAAAATTGGATACATCTGTTTTATTTATTTATTTTGTCAAGCAATTATCATCCATCTAGGGGAGGTTGCTTATCACTTCATTTGAGTTTTTTTCAATCCTTTTGAAAAAAAACCAGGGATAAGTCTGCAGATTTAATACATAAATATATAATATGGAGCTGTGGTGGTGCAGTGGTTAGAATGCAGTACTGCAGGCTAACACACTGCTCACTGTCAGGAGTTCTATTTTGAGCTGCTCAAGGTTGACTCAGCCTTCCATCCTTCTGAGATCGATAAAATGAGGACCCAGATTGTTGCGGAAAACTGTTCAGAGAGTGCTGTAAAGCATTGTGAAGTGGTATATAAGTTTAAGTGCTACTGAAAATGCAATTGCTCTGTAAATTTAACACTGAACTACTGGCATTGAGCTTAAACCCAAAGTGATGATATGAAACTTTTTATTCCTTCTATTAACTTCTAACCTCACAGTACAGTCAGGTGTTAATATTGTAACACTTCATTGGACTGTAAAGTACGACTTGATCAAATTAGGAAAGTAAAATATTTATGTCCACTCACAAACTTTGTCTTCTTTATAAGCTTAGCCCATTTTCTGTTCAATTTTTTCAATTCTCCGGAAACAGATGATCCCACTTCTGCATTGCTGGATTCAATCAAAAAGTTTCCAGCTTCGTTCAAGGAACCATGCCGTGAATTCCAGGCTGCCAAAGTTTCTGGGGAGATCTAAAGGATAATATTAAAATCCATAGGATGTTTATGGGGTCCATAATTTTCAAAACAATATCAATAACTGGGGAAAAAATAAGCATACCTTCTTAAGATGGTCTTTTCGAGTCTCTTCCAGCCAAGGTTTTAGCAACTGGATGTTCTCCATATAGATAGCCCAAGACGATAAAACTTTTTTCAAGGTATCATTCACATTATTAATGTACTCTCTGCACTTGGCAACCTGAACTTCTGTCATCTTAAACAATTTGGCTATTTCTTCAGGATCAATTTCTAAAATATTTTAAAATAAATAATATCATTAACCATTTCCACAGTTGTATACAAAGACTTTCTACCTGCCTGGTTCACTTTATACAACCAGGAATTATAAGCAGATTTTACAGATCAGAAATCAATATTGAAAGAGAACTACTTGCATAAGATAAATACATTTGTTATTGGGATGGGACTCAAGCTATATCTAACATGCAATTATAATTCATTTCTTGCAATATGTATGTATGTATGTATGTACGAAGGAATGAATGAGTGAATGAACTGCAATTAAGTAAATTTGCCATAAGGATCAAGCCTTCATCCTATATTTAATGAAATTGTCTCACTTCATGTTGCCAACCATTCTTTACTAGGCTCCCATAAGATGGAAAACATGTATCCACTAGCAAGGGAATAATAGGTACACAATATATTATTTGTTCTGTCCCAAATAGTTACCTTAAAGATGAATGAAATCTTACTAATACAGCTTAGTGGGTCATAGGGTACCAGTCCTAGGTAAGCAAAGTCAAGAAACAGGGCATTCAGAAAGCTTGCCACTGTTTCTTTCTTCCCTATCTTACACCAAACAAAATCATGGTGACATTATTTAGTAATTTTTCCTGAAACTCCTTAAGAATTTAGGAATTTTTGCCATTTTCAAGGCAAGGTATACATTCCGTTGTTCTTAGGAAGATATATGACCACGGAGATGCCTTCGGACAGTGCCGGCTCTTCGGCTTTGTAACGGAGATGAGCAGCACCCCTAGAGCTGGAAACAACTAGCATGTATTGTGTGAGGGAACCTTTACCGTTAAATCTATTTTGGTGCTCCACATGTTGCTTTCATGAAACGCTTATTACTAATACAATAAAAAGCCCTTCATGCTAAAAACAAGAACACTTGGGAGAAGATGGGGACATGTAGGCCAGACAAGGAATAATGGATGGAAACTGAACAAGGAGAGATTTAACCTGGAAATAAGGAGAAACTTTCTGACAGTGAGAACAATCAACCAATGGAACACCTTGCCCTCAGAAGTTGTGGGAGCGCCATCACTTGAGACTTTCAAGAAGAGATTGGACTGCCATTTGTCAGAAATGGTGTAGGGTCTCCCGCTTGGACAGGGGGTTGGACTAGATGACCAGAAGACCAGACTTCCAACTCTGATTATCTGGTTTTTTTTCTTTTTGAAAAGCTGAATTTTTACTTTTCTTTACTTCATCGAGGACAAGGCCAAAGATCTCATAACAGTGTAATAAATGCATCTCCTTGAATGTTCAAGATTCTAGCCATTTCATTAGTTCCTTATACTTCCTTGCTCTGTCTCTATCCAATATTCTCTATTTCATACCTAACAAACACACATTTTCTTAAAGCTGTTTTCAAGAAGGAAAAGGTGTCCTCTGACAGTTCCCCCCCCCCTTTTTTTTAAAAAAAAAATTTATATGCTCTTAAATCTTAAGTTTCTTTAAATGCATTGCTATAGTTCATGGGTTGTGCGATTCTGGCTCTGTAACAATAATCCTTACAGACCAAGCGCTGAAAATCAAGGGAAGGTTGAAGCCTGGACAGAACCACTGTGATGTTTATGAATTCTTACCCAAATTAGGAGCCTTTATCATTTTATTTTTCTGTGCTTCGCATACTTGTAATGCAGTGTCTAGTTGACCAGGAAAACCTTTTTCTTCAATAAAATTCTGCCCCAAAATAAAATGACATAATTATTTGAGAAATATCTGCTGCTGTAGAAAATTAGAAGTAATTCAATTTGAGATTTACATTCTCTGATTTTTTGTGGATCAGATGAAATTGAAACAAAGTAAGGGTTTTATCTGCTGAGGTGGAGGAGGGTGAGAAATAATTTTAATAATTAAAATGTCCATGAGGATAACATGATGAAAGAAACAAAAAAACAAAAAAAACCCTCATCCAGCATAGTTTGTACCAGGCATGAACTTTGAAATATGTGATAGGCCTGGAACACATGATCTTAATTGAAATAAATTAATTCAAAGCTCTATTAACAAACAGCTTTTAAAAACAACAGGACTTTATACAGACAGTTCAAGAGTGAATAGTGTTCTCTGCCTCTCAAACCAACAACACTGTCAAGGTTTAGATCTTACAACGTTTGGCAAGTCTTCCTACTTAGAGAAGCAAATCATGTTTTTTTCTCAGGCCTTTTATTAAATGTTTGTAGATTTACACTGACATCTGCTGGATGTTTGTATAAGAAGAATTAAAACTGATAAGATGATAATTTCTGATGCAACAAAGCTGTTTTTAAAATGGGAAAGAGATAGCTGAAACCTTCAATGATAAAAAAAACAAGCAATTCAAAAGCTGTTGACTTGAAAAGGCCGGAGGAAGGAACTCAGTATTTAACCCTTAGATCAGTTCATATACATATAGGGCTGGATTTCTGTATACTGCTCGATGCTGAACTGCTTTGTTCATATGGGTTTGCAGCACTCTGCAATGAATGTACTTATCATAACTTATTTGATCCTGATGGGGGATGCATTGCTGAGAAGGAGTTTGTCACACCTATACAAAGCCTTGACAAAATATATATTACTTATTTACACCTGCAGCTAAGATATGGCACTTTTAACATGCTAAATCCATAGTGCATATTTGGATGAAAATTACTTGCTCAGAGCAGCCAGATGGGTGTAGCGGTTAAAGTGCTGGCCAAGAAACCAGAGGACTGTGAGTTTTAGTCCTGCCATATGCATGAAAACCAGCTGGGTAACTTTGGGCCAATCATTCTTTCTCTCAGCCCAACCCATCTCACAGGGTTGTTGTTGTTGTAGGGAAAATAGGAGGAGGAGGAAATATTATTTATGTTCACTGCCTTGAGTTAATTATAAAAGTAATAAAGGTAGGATAAAATATTTAATAAAAAATAAAACTAAAATGAATAAATAGTATGAACATATTTGTATGGGTGCCTTTGATTCAACTTTTTAGTCTCTTCTGCATAGCTATCCAAGAAGCAACTATAATGCTTACATGCCAATCTAATTGCAATAACTCCACAGTTTCCTTGGTTCCAAACTTGATGTGCCAGATGTTCAGTTTAGATGTCAGTTCGTTGAAGACAGCTGAGCTGGATGAGCAGTAGTATTCCACAATAATGCTGAAATTTTCAAGTTGAACTTTGCTGAACCTGAAAATAAATCCAACATCTTGTCTATAAAATGTAAGATAAAACCAATGAGCGTGATCTGCACTCCATAAGGCATGCTGTGACCTAGAAAAATGCACAGCTTTTTACTGGCTAAATAAGTTGTTCTGTCTTTATTACCAACCAATTTACAGATGTGTTAGGTTGACCCAGGAACAGGAAATGCTGTGATCTGATCATGGTGGTGCAAGAATGATAGAATAAAGTAGATGCATCTGAAGAGCAGAAGAAAAGTGCTTCAATTGCTGGAGGGCCTAAAGACTTTAATTACTACATGACGTCTTGGAGGACTTTAAAAGACCCCTGGCAATTAATAGAAGCAAAATTGAACCAGATGGATCAACAGTCTGATTCAGAATTAAATAGCTTCATACATTTATAAACTGGATACAAAAATATGAATGATCAAAGTCAAAAAATGTCCAGAAACAAAGAATGTAAGAAGAGCTGTGTTGAATCAGGCCTGTGACCCATCTACATTTTGCTTTCTATTAGCTGGATTTGCACAAAGTACAGATACTTAAACAGATCATTTAGAGTACCATTGTTTTCTATATTTACACACATTCCTGGTGAGCTTCATTTGTCTTAATCTTAGTTAATTAGTTTTAACTTTGTTTGGTGAAAATTCAGACTATTGAATTGGTTTATATTACAATACCTTATATGAATCTCCCCAAAAAAACAAGTAAATATGTTATACTAATTCAGCCACTGCAGTGCTTTCAGAGAAACCACAAGCTAGGCTTGAATTGATCATGGGGAGAATAAGACCACACAACTTGTCTACAAGGAAAATCAGATCCTGGGATTGAATAAATTCCCTAATCTAGTGAATACATCACATCTGGAGGATATCAGGTTGTGCGAAATGCATACAGTATGTATGTCAATAAGAGCAGCAGAGATGCCCACCATCAGTCTTGCAATTAGGGTATTAAATTTGATAAGAACACAATTATATTTAGCTGAATGGAACAATCAAAGGAGAAATTTGACATCACAAACCTTTTTCTCATTTCTTCCAGCTTCTGAGGTGGAACTACCAGCATTCCAGCATTATCTCTATTGTCAAAGGACTGGAGGGTTTCCAAATGTTGTTGAAAACTTTCCATCAAATTCTAAAAACAGAAGCACTATTCACATATGTCTTATAATTAATTCATCTATATATGCATTTACTTTTCTAGCAATAGGACAGAAGAGCAATAAGGCTAATAAATTTCTCAAAGAAAAATATAGAATAATTATGCACTAGTTTACAGAATGATTATAAGGATGGTTCCTGAAATATTGCATCTTTCTTTAAAGAGCCGACAGTATTGTTACTGAGTAATATGAGGTTGCATGGCTTTAATATTACATTGTTTTTTTATTTTATCTTATTTTATTTTACACCCCAGGATATATTATCAGCTGCTGTAATTTTTGGGCAGCTGCCCAAAAGCCCCAAAACCCAGCAGAGCCCACTGATGTTGCCTGGTGAGTATGACTGGGATTGTATTTGCTCAAAGAGATATTATTCAGAGCAATACTAGAGTTGGTCGCCCTTTACATTTTTTCACTCAATAGAACTAAAAGGCTGAAGGAAGTCATTGTTTAAATGTCTTACAAAGCCCGATCCAGCATAAAGAATGTGGGAAATGTCAAGAGTTTGGCTTATCTCAAAATGTGACTTCAACCAATCATTTGAAAAGCAACTCCAAATCTATCAAAGCCATGCAACACATCCTAAAAGTGTATATAAAAGTGTAGAAGATAAATTCCAATAGAAATGCATGCTTATTGAAACTGAAGTTACCCACATTTTAGCTGATTTGTCTTATTCATTTATCAAATTTATATACTACCTATTTCACTCACTCGTGTGAATATAGGCAGCTTACAAAAATGTGTAAGTTGGATTTACTTGATTGTCTAGACTCTTATCATACAGTGAACCAAATGTAAGCTTGTGGTCCTTTTTTCCTCAATATTGTTCACGGTTCCCCAAATAGGGGAATAGGAAAAAGGCACTGATGATTGTATTACAGTGCTAACAGTGCTGCAAACAACAGTAAATGCCATGATGGTTGCTTTAAGCAAGGCAAGTATATAAGAGGATGATATATTTTACTAAGACATATTAGTAAAAGGAATTTTGCCTGGTGGGGCCCAGGAAAAGAGCCTTCTCTTCTCTGGCTCTTGCCTCCAGAACATCCTATCCCCTGAGGACAGATTGGCTCCCACCCTCCTGATTTTTCAAAAAAAGTCTTAAGATCTGGTTCTGCCAGATGGCTTGGGGACCCAATGGGAAAGTTTTACACTTGAGGTGGTTGATTAATTAAAAGCTAATCCCTCTTCCCCTTCCCCTGCCATTTATCCAGCTCCCTCCTTTTCCATCTTGTGTTAATGATTTTATTTGGTCTGTTGTGTCATTTTACGTTCAACGATATATTCAATTTAATGTTTTTCAATGTTTGTTATGCTGTAAGTGGCCCACAAGGTGGGAGGCAATAAATATTTTACTTTACTTAACCAACCTGTACAGCTCTTAATTTTTCTTCAAGGGCAGCTGTTGCTTTCAAATGATCTTGAGAAATGGGTAGGTTGTGTACCAGATGCTGCTCTGTTTCTTTCAGCCAAGCCTCAATGGCATCCAGAGGTGGAGGTAACATATTGTCCAGCTTTGCTTTCCATTCATTCATCTAGACAAATAAACAGAGAAATGCCATTCATGTTGGTTCTTCAACTATTCATTTATATCACATAAAAATATACCAGCACATTGCTTAATCAAAATAGAGCTGGAAGGAACCTTGAAGGTCTTCTAATCCAAGCCCCTGCTTAAGCAAGAGACAGAGAAGAGCTACCAGGATGATTAGGGGACTGGAGACTAAAACATATGAACGGTTACAGGAACTGGGCATGGCTAGTCTAGTGAAGAGAAGGACCAGGGGAGACATGATGGCAGTCTTCCAATATTTGAAGGGCTGCAGCAGAGACGAAGGGGTCAAGCTATTTTCTAAAGCACCCAAAGGCCAGACAAGGAATAATGGATGGAAACTGAACAAAGTTCAGAAAGTTTCTCCTTATTTCCATGTTTAATATCTCCTTATTTAACATGGAAATAAGGAGAAACTTTCTGACAGTGAGAACAAGCAACCAATGGAACAGCTTGCCCTCGGAAGTTGTGGAAGCTTCATCACTTGAGACTTTCAAGAAGAGACTGGACTGCCATCTGTCAGAAATGGTGCAAGGTCTCCTGCTTGGGCAGGGAATTGGACTAGATGACCTACAAGGTCCCTTCCAACTGTGATCATCTGTTATCTGTTACCTTATCCATTTCAGACAAGTGGCTGTTCAGTCTGTTCTTAAAAACCCTCCAGTGATGAACCACCCAAAACTTCTGAAGTTTCTCCTTCAACTATGCATACTTTATGTCACCAAAATGTGCCAATATATTAGAGTCATTGTTCTGTTTGTGCAGATAAGTTATCCTTCTGACAGGCAAAATATTCTATTGCTCTCATCTTCGCTTCATATTTGTAAGGCAGGAAATGTGTTCTCATGGAAGCCATATATTCAAATGCATGAACAAGAAACCCTTTACAACAAAATAAATGCAAATTCCTGTAAACATCCTAATGACCTGATGCGATAGGTTATCCCATGCCTCCTTCATCTCCAAGTAATCTTCATTCAGGTCTGACCCTTTTCTTTTAGATTCCAGGATGGGAAGGAAGCGTTTTTTTTCTTCATTAAATGCTTCTGTAAATGATAGCATTGCCTAAGGATTTAAATGGATATTTAAAAGTGTAAGTGCATCAATATGTTCAGTGTCAAACACTTAAAAGAACTAGGGACATTAAGAGGATCATCAATGGTTATAAAACATAATATTTAAATGGGACTGGATACAAAGGTAGTTTATCTCCGAATAATGGTGGCTCAAGTGAACAACATAATATTCACATAATGAACTTAGTCTGGTTATATCATTTACATAGTTTCTACAACTGGGATTAGACAGCTTATACATTTAATTAATAATAATTTGCACACAAGAATTATATGCAAAATGAAGTAGATTCAAATAACAGCGTATTGCACAAAAACTAACCAAGCTTAAAATTACTCACATCTTGTTTTAATACCTGTATTAAAACAGATAATCCTTGTCAACGCGACCACAATCCTTTGACCAAAATTTCTATTGCTAAGCAAGACAATTATTAAGTGAGTTTTGCCTCATTTTACAACATTTCTTGCCACAGCTGTTAAGTGAAATACTGCAGTTGTTAAGTTAATAACACAGTTTTTATGTGTTTACATCACTTTTTTTTCAGAGGCAATGCAACTTTGAATGGTCACAAAATGAATGGTTATAAATCGAGGACTACCTGTGTTAGATTTTAAGGTACTTTGATAAATCATGTTGCATAAACACAACCCATGTCTATCTGTTCCACTTGGCCATTATTGGAACAGAAAACTAAGCAACAACATTTCAGTCTGATTCTTCTCAGTAGTCTGGATCTTTATCATCAATTTCCTGAGTGATAGGTAAACTCTTTATACCATGTCTTATTTTGTTTTAATATTTTTATGCAATTATGTTTGGCTTCTTCAATAACACCAGTGATGTAGCAGCTAACATATTCGTGGATCAACTTTGGCAATGTATTTACTTTGGCCTTTGCTAAGGCTGATGCGTTCTTTATGGGGCCTCAATCAAAGTTTGCTAAATGCAACAGTGACTAAAAAGAGCATAGAAAGCAAAATCCAAAATCTTGATTTCATAAAAGGATACAAAAAGGGCTCAATTGTTACTATTTCATATTTCTTGTCATATAATGTATCCTCCAAAGGATACATTTACAAAGTTACTTACTTCAAACTTCCTGTAGAAGGATGCATTCTCTAGCTCAGTCAGCAACTTTGTTAACTTGCATTCCTGTGCATTGAGCCAGCTCAAAGTCTCTTTGATTTTTTCCTGGAAAACAGAACAAAAAATGTATATACTTGTACATATATTCCTGATTGCATTGTTACAGAAAAATAGTACTTTGTTACTCTATTCCCAGAGAGTTTGCCCTTGATAGACTGTTTTGCAAACAACTGTGAAATAATATTTGCTTCTAATTCATATGACTTCTTAGTTTGGGCAAGTCATTTGACCTCAAATATTGAGTGTTTAGAGCACAATTCAGCATTATCTATGACTGAGGCTTCTATGCTTCAACCAAAAAACATGGTTAAAATAAATCACTTTTTAGCATGTGATACAGTGTCTAGAATATACCAATCTTGCTCTATTCACATATTGCACTACAGCTATAGCAATAGCACTTATATTCCACCCCACAATGCTCCACAGCACTCTCTGGGTAGTTTACAAAGTCAGCATATTGCCCCCAATCTGGGTCCTCATTTTACTGACTTCGGAAGAATAGAAGTCTGAATGAACCTCAAGCCCCATAAGGATCGAACTCCAAACTGTGGGCAGAATTTGCCTGTAATGCTGCATTCTAACCACTGTTCCTAACCACCCAGGCTCCTAAGCCATCATATGAACTATTTGTATTAATTTAGTGTAATGTATGAACCAAATCATTATCCCATTACCACATATTACTTGTTTTAATAAACCATGCTTTTAAAAAATTGATCTAGCATTATAAATGTAACAAGATCAAAATCTTAAGCAACATTAATTATCAGTGAAACCAGCTGCAGGTCTAACCAAATTCTAAAAAATAAAATTTATCATGGTATGGATTTTCTACAAAAAAACAATCATAGAAAAAGTTGGAAAAAAACAGGATGCAAAAAAAGTATAAAACATGTTCTAAAGCTTTAGATGTCACATACTGTACCTGCATTCTATCTTCAGCCACAGGTAAACTTTTAAAATACTGGAGAAACTGAGCCACATAAGTCATGATGGATTTTTCATCTGGACTGATGACATCAACATCTGTGGAACGTTAAGAGCTTTGAATATATTCCAAAGTACAAACTTCTAATAATACATTGCACTGCTGTCCAGAAAACCAATCCACTGTTTATATTACTGATTAGATCTGCGTTGCCCATAATTGTATTAGTGTTGGGTTTCAAAATTGTATAGTCCATACATACATTTTGCTGGATTTCAGCTCAGCATGATTTATGAACCATTCATTCTAGTTTAATATTATGTATAAATTAGACCAATATAACAACAAAAAGTATTGTTATGTGACAACACAAGCAATTACAGGGATAGGAAAGGAAAGGATAGGATAGGATAGGAGAGTTGGAAGGGACCTTGGCAGTCTTCTAGTCCAGCCCCCTGCCTAGGCAGGAAACCCTACACCACTTCTGACAAATGGTTATCCAACATCTTTTTAAAAACTTCCGGTGTTGTATTCACCTTTATATTTTCTAGTGGGAAATTATGTTATCAGCCCTTCCTTTTGCATAGGAGATAGAGAAGGAAATCATGGGACAAATACTTCTGGACCCCTAGCAAGAATGAAATGCTTTCCCATCTTTGAGTGGGAAATCTCCGCCATCCAATATATGTCAACTCCCTTTCCCACCATCAAAGTAATGCAGAATCTCCAAGAAGAAGCTTCCAAACATTTTAGGCGTGGACCAGCTTGCTACTTTTGGAAATGCAGCTATCAGCCTGAATTAGGTTCTTGGGGGTGGGGATAAATTATTCACTATGTCTAAATAATTTATTCACAATAAATCTAAATCCAATCCAGAAGAACCCAGTGAAGAACCCTCATGGCTGAAGAGGCTGCAGAGTTCAACTACACTCCCTGCCCTCTTAAGTAGAACTTAAGAACTTCAGAATTAGACCATCCTGGGGTAAACAGATCTATGGTTCAACCTAAAATAACTTCATATATTTGTATTTATCTTAAAAACAATCAAAAGGATTATATGCTTTTATATTTTGTATTTTCTATGCTTGATAGTGATATTGAAGAAAATTGCAAAGCACATTTGATTATATATCTCTGTCACTGCCACTTTTAATATCCATAATGTTGATTTTCCTTAATAGTCGTGTCGTTTTATCTGTTTCAATCCAATATTATTAATAATAATCTAATATTAAGGCCAAGGAAACCAAAATTGGTAGAATAAATCAGCACAATACAGTAAGCACAGCTGGGATTGATGATGCTCAAAACTCAACACCAAGCAGATTGAAGATCAAGTGCATGTAAAATCTATGAGTTACCTTCAGGTTCAAGCAGCCGGGGTATCCCGAGTTCCTTCTCTGCTACTTGAAACGCCTCTCTCAGATTCTCCTTGTTTGATCTCTCTTTTGCTTTCTCCACATCAACCAAGCCTGGCCTTAATGCATGAATGATGGCTAAGAAAGCCAATCCATTCCTCCAACTGGATTTGAAATCCGCAACGTTGATAGACCCATGCCTATGATCAAAAGCATTTAAAAACACACAAAATTAAAGAGAGGAGAAAAATATTATGCTGGAGAAGAAAATAAAAATTTGCATATCAGCCTGTCCCCTCATTCTGATTTTAAAACTAGCTATAATCCTTCTGCCCTTATCTTAAAGACCAAAGTAAAGAAGTTCTGTTAATAAATGAATGGATAGATTAAAGAAAATAAAGAAAATAAAATAGAAAATGTGGGAGGTTCTTTATAGTTTGCCCTGACTTTCAATATAAACTCTCTGGGAAAGTTAAGAGGAAGAGTGGTTCTTTTCCATGGCATAATAAACTGATTACTAACATAATTTGAATATATTTTGAAAGAAACTTTACACCATTTGTTCCTTAAACCACACTTTCTTTCTATGCAGTTCAACCAGATGAATGACCAAAACCAAACAACTTAAACTGAAAATAAGCAAGGAAGGAATGTACTTGTATCAGATAGATTTCTTGTCTAATTTCATATATTAATCCTAACCAATTGAAATAAAAGTTGTTCACTTAGAAGAATAACTGAATTACTTGAAAAATGGGAAATCAGTTGTGTTCTGTCCACATAACAGAACCACAATGACACTGCAAATACTCCCTTCACTTCCTAAGCCCACTTAGCCCAACAATCCCATAGAATCATAGTTATGGGCACTTTCCCTACCCTATATATAATTTCCATCACAAGCAGAATACAGACTTGAAACTAAGAAAACTCCACACAGATAGAGAATAGGCTGCATTTAGGTGCAACCTAATAGGTGTTTCCTGGGTGCAGAGAGATGAAATGGCTCATTGAAGCCCTGACATCATTTGCTGAACTTAACTGGAAGAGCTTCAGATGTGCACAGAGGGAAGCAGGAAATCAGCTTGCCATTTGTTTCAGCATAACTTACCCAACTCTTTTGATCTCCTGGGCAGAGTCCCAACAGCTATTAAGTAGTTTCATTACTATGCAAGAGTTTGGAAGGACAGCACCTACCTCTCAAAAAAGTTTTGTTTACAATGCTATAACACCAACCTCTAATTATCTCCCGCAACTCATCCTGCATTCATTATAAAGTCAAGCTGCATTTTATCCATCTGTTTATATTATGCACTCATAATGAATTTATTCAGTCCAGTCTTCCTCAACTAATGTATAGCAGATGTTTCAGATTCTGCCTCCCATAAATTCCAAGTAGTTGTAATGGGCAGAGATTTTATTGGAATTGTTGTCCAAAACATCTGGAAGGAATCAGGAAAGCCTCACATAATCTTTATTTAAAGTCACCTGTAGTAAACTGCATTTATTCCTTGCAAACTCTGAATTAGACCCTGCTATAAAGCTTTCTAGTGTTAGTCCAGTTTATAATATGCAACACAAAGAAACACCTCTTTCTCTTCCTCTGTTGCTATTACTTATTTCCATCTATCTCTCTTTTCCTCTACATTTTTAATTTAGATTTAGCATTGAGTCATGCAATATGGCTTTATTAAGTGTTAAATACCCAGGTACTGTTACATTTTGTACTGTAAACTTTCCATGAAGAAAGAGCAGCTGAAAAATACATTTCAATGTGCTTGTTGAAGTCCATCTTTTAAATACTATCTTATGCATTTAGAGGTCTTTGAAGGATACAATTTTGGGGAATACTGACACAAATTGGCTTAAGACTAATATGCTGATATAGATGTAGCTGCTTCTTAGATCTGCATTTGTCTGCAATTACCCTATAGCTCAAACTTTAAAATAAGCAAATAAATGTGGAAATGGGACACAACAGATTTATAACTGATAGGCTGATTTTCCTATCCTGACATACTTGTCACACTGTTCCTTAGCCCATAGCAGGACAGCCTTCTTCGCTGATATCTTCCATCGTTCCTTTGCTTTGACATTAGTTCTAGCTGTTGGGCTCATTGCTGGTGATAAATCCCCAGTGCTTGGACTGTCCAGAGATGAATGGCTGTATCCACAAGAAAGAGCCTTGGCTAATTCTTCAATCTATCCATGCACATAGAAAGAGAGAAAAAACGCATTTGAAAATGTCTGACTGTATCTAAAAGAAAAAGTTAGCTCAAATGGCTGGTTTTGATATGATCTGCTCCTCATATAACAGCCAGAAAAACCATGCAGAAAAAAAGACTACCAAAAAAAAATCTAGTTAGCCATGATTTTGACAAGACATATTCTTCATGCAGGATTTGGCTTTTCTATCACATTAAATAAGTATAGTCACCCAATACATTGAGCTTAATATTCTCCTAGGAACTATTCTATCTCAACACTATGCATCTGAGTTGAAAAAAATATGTAACTAAATGTTCAATATTTTCCTTATCAATCATATGGAGGAAAACAAATAACAGCAATAATATTTGAATTTCAATTTGTACTAGCCATGATAAAATAGGATAAATAACTTCCAAAAATTATTGAACATTGCCAAAAGATCATAAAACTCTAGAAAAATTATCATAATTTTACATTACAATTTGTATGTTTGAAATAGTTTCCTGGTTTAGCCATGGTAGAAGAAGCAGAATTGACAAAGTCAGTACTGTATTGAAATTGTGGGACAACCGCCAACTGGAACTTTGAAAAAAATGAAAAACTTTTCTCTTTATGTTGATTAATACTTACATGAAAATGCAATATAATGATCCATATGAGACCAAGCACGATGGATGGTTTTCCTTCTATGATATCAGCAACATGGATGTTTATAAGTTTCAGCTGGGGAAAAAGGAAGATTTATTGTTTTGAGGAACAGGAAGATACTACTAGCTCCAGATGTGCTAAGATTATTTCCCGAAGTTCCTAGTCAACTGGAAAATTCTTAGAGTTACAATCCCAGGACATTTGGAGGACACCCATAGGAAAGATGGGCTTGTGTTACAAATCTGCAATGTTTAGTATATGATTTTTATAATAACAATCTTGATCCAATGTTAGAGGTGGAACAAACTGCAATAGTGTAGAAAGAAAATAAGCTTGCTTTAAGATAAGAACACAGTGCCCCAAATCCAACTCTTGATGGACACAAATATCTGCTTCTCTTCCCTGGAAAAGTAACAACTAACTTGCTCAATTGTGATTCAGGCACCAAAAAAGGAGTACCATGTGTGCTTATTGCAAAAAGTAGATACAATAAAAGTACAAGATATGCAAATATCAGAGAGACCTAGCAGTCAATCTGGATGTCCTTCACATGTTGGAAAATGTTCTTATATAGCTGAGATCTGTAACTAATTTTGTAGTGAAAATGCTGGAAATCAACACTGAACAATTCATTTAATAATTATTTTAATGCTTTAGCATCTAAGTAAATACAGGCTCCTTTCAAAGCCAGAATACTAACTGATCTATTCTTCAGGAAGGTTAAGGCATTTTCAATGTTGCTTCTGCGTTGGAAAGTGTTCGATCCCTTTTCACGTGACTATAAAATATAAAGAAACAGAAAAGAACAGTTTGATCCTTATCAACAGTAACAATGTTTTATTATTTGTACATATATATTCTTGATTGCAATTTTACAAGGCAAACTGACAATAAAAATAGGACAATTCCAGGATGTAGCAACAATTGATTATATTTGCAGACGGCTGTGATCTGAACTTGTTCTCTACTTTGATTCTGTCCTCTTATATGCTGCTACCACTGTTCTTGTAAATATTGCAGGAATATCTATGTATGTGTGTAATGCTTTACAAAGAGTGAAAGTAAAATTCACTGCCCCAAAGGGTTTTACCCTTTTCAATGAGTTATAGAGAGGCAATGGGGGGGAGGGGGAGGAAATAGATACACAAGGAAAAAGAAGCACATGTTCTGAGATAATTATCACCCTAAACCCTTTTGGCACAAAATAGCTTGTATTTTGAAAAATAATACTCACACATAATCTTAGGAACAAGAAACTGTGTTTAATAGAGTGGCACATTTTATCCATTTTGCCTAATTTGCTTTTGTGATTCAGATTCTTCAACTAGTCACATAGAGGTATATCTTTGCAGGAGACAGTTTGGTCTAGTGGTTAAGGCATGAAGCTAGAAACAGGATACCACTGTGTGTTCAAGTCCTGCCTTAGCCATGAAAGCCAACTAGGTGATCTTGAGTGACAGTCTCTCAGCCCAACTCAATGCAGCAGGGATATTATTGTGGGGAAAATAGGAGGAATGTGTGTTGGATATATTTGATGTCTTCAGTTTTTTTTTATAAAAAAGTATAGAGGCTGGATAAAAATAAAATAAATAAATAATAAACAAAGGATTTAGGAAATGCATCTATATTTTTCTCAGCTGAGAAACATGGGCTATTTGATTAACTGACTGAGAAACTTGAGAACTACGTGTACAAAGCCTTTCTATGAATTCTTGTGGTTGAATTATTCATAATACTCTTACCAATTGTTGTCCGGAAAGGACCTCCAGTAGATCCAAAAGCACATGTCCCTTCCCAATGTCTGAATACAAGTCCAAGATAAGAGAAGGTGATGGATGCTGCAGAATAATTATTTATATTCGGTTATATATTCTATAGTGGTTTTAGTATGCATTACAACAAGACCATATGCATAATCGAATGCATATTTTGCTTTTTCTTCTGGACCCAAGGGGCTCTTCTGCAAATAGCACCTCAGTGTGTTAGTCTCTGGGTCATCGTAAAAACCTGCTAGTTATTATCATACTGTCAACTATAGGTTAAGCAACACTTTCTTGCTAGTCTTCCTATTCCATGAGATTATAGTACTTTAAAAAATGTTTTTATTAGTAGTACTAATAATGGTACTAAAGATTCTGCCAATTTGAAAACCAAAGCATCAGTCTCTAGCATCATCTATTTATATATTTCTAAATCCATTTGTAAATAGGCATTCTTAAAAAATAAGATGGTGGGGGATTGTCCTTTCCCTACCCTTCAAAAGACAAGGCTACTGTAAACTGCTGAAATATAGATCATCCTGAGAGACCACAAGGAATGTTTGGGAGCAATATTCACCAGACTGATAAGTGGGCATTTTGTGAGTCTTAAAGTTTCCAAGTTTGGAGGCCTCTGGTCTAAGTGGTAAAAGATGACCAATTAAGCCAATAAATCCACAATAAATTGGTTTAACTAACAGGTCTGACCTTTTTTTATTTTACACACGTGGAAAAAGTTCTATGGCCATTAATTCAGGCATTTCACCAAGTTTTGATACTTGCTGTAAACACTCTATATCTATATAATTTCTATATAATTTTCCTACTGAGATTCAAATATTTAATAAGACAAAAGGGACTGAAATATTATTATACTTTACATATATTTTAGAAAAGATATTCTACAGCATCACCATGCCATTACCTTTTCTAGTTGTGAGTTCACCCAGCTTGTGAAAGTTCTTTTTTGAATGTCTTCTTGCTTAGCTATTTTGTAAAATAAAAACAAAAATAAAGGTTATAAATATATCATATTTTTCAGAATATAAGACTGTCCGAAGTATAAAATGCACCTAACTTTTGGGGAGGAAAACAAGAAAAGAAAATCTGTCTCTGCCTCCCAGCAATTTGCCTCCTTGTAGCAAAGCAGCAAACAGCCTGCTCAGCTTCAGCACAGCCTGATTAGCACAAGCAGCTGATTGTCGGTTGGAAAGGCCTCCCGATGAGCAGTTGTTTCAAGCTGCAGGGGTTGCCATCGCCTATTGCTGCCTCCGCATGCTCCATTTTTGGCCTCTACACCCCATTTTTCACCTCCATGTAGCCCATTTTCAGCCTCCTTGTGTCCCACTTTCCGCCGATTCTGAGTGGAGGAAAATGGGGTGCACAGAGGCCAAAAATGGGGGATGCGGAGGCGGCAATAAGTGATGGCAATCCCTCTAGCCTGAAACAGCTGATCATCGGGAGGCCGTTCCAACCAACGATCAGCTGCTTGTGCTAATCAGACTGTGCTAAAACTGAAACAGGCTGTTTGCTGTTTGCTACAAGGAAACAAATTGCTAGGAAGCAAAGGCCAAAGGGTGGGGGCTGGAGGATGGGCGGGGCTTCAACAACATTCAATGTATAAGACGCACAGACATTTCAACTCACTTTTGGGGGTGAAAAAAGTCTGTCTTATACTCTGAAAAATACAATATTTACTACTCTTAATGTTTATTTTGTTTATGAATGAAAACAAGATGTATAAAACACTTTTAGATAACCAGGTTATCACTTGTGGAGTGGGGGGGAATCAGTGCTCCCACAGATGTTGAATATATGCAATTCTATGAAAACTACTATGAGAGATGCAGACTTTAAAGTTAGACAAGAATTACAATTCTTGAGAATGCATTGTTTGCAATAGTGCAGATCTATGCCCCATGGTTTATATATGTTTTGAAACAATCTATAAACACTAATTGTCAGGGAAAACAAAATACATACATTAATTATTTTGACATCAACTTTAATCCATTTTTAAAAGCTGTATGCTATTTTAGCCTTCCCCAGTCTGCTGTTGGCCAAGGATTTGAGCTCCAGCTTTGGGAAAGTCTATTTAAAGGTCCCATTTAAATATCTACATTTAGAAATAGTACTTAGACTTATATATCACTTCACAGTGCTTTTCAGCTCTCTCTAAGGCAAGGGTCTTCAAACTTGGCAAGTTTAGGACTTGTGGACTTCACCTCCCAGAACTCATGAGTGAACATGACTGGAGGAGGAATTCTGGGAGTTGAAGTCCACAAGTCTTAAAGCTGTCAAGTTTGAAGACCCCTGCTCTAAAAGTTTTAGTTTAAAAACCGAAAACATCAAGAAAAAGAAAGGCCTTCAAATAGCATCTCTCCATTCAAGCCTCTGAAAAGCAAGCACAGCATGCATACATATCATCCAGCTAAAGCATACTATTTATTTAAATAGAGAACCCGTTTAGTGTTGTGGTTAAGGCAGCAGACTAGAGACTATAATTTCTAGTCCTGCCTTAGGCATAAATCTAGTTGGGTGACTTGGGCTAGTTGCTTTCTCTTAGGCCTAAGAAGAAGGCAATGGCAAACCACTTCCAAAATCTTGTCCAGGCAATCTCCAGGAATAAAAAACTGACTTGAAATCAACTCCCACCCACAAAAAAATATCTCAAGATATAATAGCAAGTACAGACTCTATGAAAATTAATATCTTTTTCTTGTTGATAAGTGGCCATATGATTTGAACCCTATTCTCCAGAGCAAAAAACAAATGTATCATATAACATATGTGACAATATTTCAAATGCATGGAAATAATGACTTGATTGCCTCTGCGTATTACTTCACTAAGCTAAAAATACTCAAATTCATACACAGGATTCTTTACAGGGGCATGTTTATTTATTTTATTTTTATTTATTTATTTATATTTGTCAATTGCTTACAAGATAATAGGTGTAAGTAAAAACATAGTTATGAATACATGGATACATATAAGAAAAATAAAAAAATATAAAAGAAACAATAGGACAGGGACGGTAGGCACATTGCTGTGCTTATGCACGCCCCCTACAGACCACTTAAGAAAGGGGTGAGGTCAATGGTAGACAGTCTACGGTTAAAGTTTTTGGGGTTTGGGGAAAAAACCACAGAGTCAGGTAGAGTATTCCAAAAATTGACCACTCTGTTGCTGAAGTCGTATTTCCTGCAATCAAGTTTGGTGCGATTAACCTTGAGTTTGTATCTATTGTTTGCTCTAGTGTTGTTATGGTTGAAGCTGAAGTATTCATTGACAGGTAGGACATTGCAGTGTATGATTTTATATACTATACTTAAATCAAACCGAAGGTGGCGAAGTTCTAGTTTTCTAGGTCTAGAATTTTGAGTCTGGTGGCATAAGGTATTCTACAACGAGTAGAGGAATGGAGAACTCTTCTTGTGAAATATTTCTGGACTTTCTCAACTGTGTTAATATTAGATATGTAATGTGGGTTACAGACTAATGAGCTGTATTCGAGTATTGGTCTAGCAAATGTTTTGTATGCTCTAGTTATTAGTGTAATATTACCAGAGAAAAAGCTACGTAAGATTAGGTTAACAACTCTTAATGCCTTTTTGGCTATGTAGTTACAGTGGGCTCTAGCACTTAGGTCATTAGAGATGAGTACTCCAAGATCCTTGACAGAGTTTGGATCATCAAATGTGTACAATTTCAGTGGAAAAATGAAAGGGAGAGGTTTCTTTATATTTGGCTTAATGGTTTTCTCCCCATGTACAGTCTTTTTAAACAACAATCTTAGCCTTGCATCACATTGAGTTATATTCTTTATTAGTGCCTTGACTTGGTGCTCAGTGAGGCTGCAACTTAATCAAGCACATGTGCTCTGGAGTTCTAAAGATTGCAGAGAAAACAAAACATCTATTGAACTGCAGGTGCCATGCTGTGAATTGATACTGACTAGAAGAAAAAGAACCTGGAATTTAGCATCTATAGAATCTGAGTGGAAAATTAGAGATATCTAGAAGTGCAGACACAGTAGGCCAGAGCTGTCAAACTCCTGGCCCATGGGCCGAATGCAATTTCCTTTCCCAACTATCTAAGAAATGTTCTCCTAGATATAGATACTGTGGTGAATTAAAGAGCAATTTACTTCTACTTTGCCTCAAAGGTGCTTTTTCAAAAGGCAACTGGACTATGTTTTTTCCTTGAGTAAGACCTTTTGCTTCTCATTCAAGAAGCTTCATCAATTCTGACTGTGCTAACTCAGTGCTAGTGACCAGATGACTGCAAAGAAACATGATCCTTCCACCACCACCCACCACCCCAACCTGCCATCCAGTCACAACTGATTAACCTTATTGGATGAGAAGCAAAATATCTTCTTCCTCAAGGGGAAAAACAAAGTTCAGCTGCCTTTTGAAAAAAGCACCTTTGAGACAACCATGACTTGGATGACTAAAAATATCCATACACACTCCTACTTTCTACTTTCAAAAATATACTTTTCTTAGAAAAAATGCTACTTTATATCACCAGCTTATATTAAAATCCCTGTTTACAATGAGAAATACTCATACTGTACTTCATGAGTAAGTAAGGTTTTTTTTTACTTTGAATACCCTTTTAAAATGCTTTGCTAGCAAGATATTTTTCAACATCATGACTCAAGGCAGCATTAAGTTTGCATTTAATTTACATTTCACCAGTATTTGTTATGCAAAGAGTCACAAGGGATTATCTTGTTCCTCATTCAAAATAAGGATTAAATCATTAGCATAGGCATTTTCCACAAGAAATCTAATATTTTCAAAACCATTGCAAAGACAATTAGACAAACTCCAAACATTGTGTGCCCCTTGTGCTAACACTGTATCAGTCCTCCCAAGGAAACCAGACAGGAAATAGGATGAGATGAATTAATTCTATTTTATTGTAAGGCTATATTAGTCTTGCAAGTTTGAAGCTGCAAATTTCCCTTTGTCACTTTTAACTTCTAGGTTCATTAAGATGGGTTCTTCCTAAATTTATTTCTCTCACTTTTAAGTCATTGGGGGCTTCTGTCTCTCTTGTCTAATTATTTTCTAAGCAGCACCTTTTCTCCTTGTTCCTCAAGGTGACCCATACATTTCATTATAGCTAGGCTATGGAGTACATGTTCAACATTGTAAGAATCCAGTTCTTAGTAGGATGAAAACCCATCGTTTATGACTTGCAATAGATAAACCCAGCCACTATATCAGTGGTCGGCAACCACTGCAAGGGTCACCAACTTTTGGGGGGATTTTCCCAGGGTCACTGGTCTGCGGGATTTAAAATTATGAGTTTGGTGGTCCCTGAGGTCCAAAAGGTTGGTGACCCCTGCACTATATCATATTCAACAAATTACTGCCAAAACAGTAGTTAAACATGATATAGAAAGAGCAATAGCACTTAGATTTATATACTGCTTTATAGTGCTTTCACAGCCCTCCCTAAGCTGTTTACAGAGTCAGCATATTGTCCCCAACAATTTGGGTCCTCATTTTACCCACCTCAGAAGGATGGAAGGCTGAGTCAACCTTGAGTCTGGTGAGATTTGAACTACCAAATTGTAAGCAGAACTAAAGTTGCAAACAGTGTTTTGTGTCCTTTATGGTGTGAAGATGATAGCAGCCAAGGAGAGCAAGCCTGAATCCCTTTGATCATAACTGTCATGCCCCTGGTGGAGACTGACTCTGGGGAAGAGGAGGAACAGCTAACAGAGAATGGAAGTGTGGCTCCAGAGGTGGTGGAGGAGGCTGGGGAAGGGCAGAGGCCAGCTGAGCAATCAGAGGTGGACCCAGGCCCATCCCCTATCCATCCTAGGGCATGCAGGGAGGAGAGCATCAGGGTAAAACATGGTCTACTCGAGAGGAGAGGATCAGGGTAAAATGTGTGAGATTTGCATAAGAGTTTGGACCTGAGTGCTAACAGACGCTGGAGACAAATTAGTGTTTTATTCCTAA